TTTCGTGGGATAATGAGTTAAGATAATCCTCGAGGTGTTTATAATTAGCAAAGAATAAAAAATATAAAGATCAAAAATACATTTCATAAGTTTTCTATATATAATATCCAATAAATTCAATCAACAATTTCTTAATTTGTTGATTGTTATTGTTATTTGTTTTAATAAATATTTGTAAATCTATTTGTTCGTTACAAAACACAACAAAATCGATATTAAATTTGAATAGATTTAATTTTTTACTCCAGCTTTAACGTGTGCCAAATTAAATTAATGTTATCCAATATTCGAATTTAAAGCATTTTCCCATAATTTACTGCCTTTGCCTCTATCTATCCCTTTCTGTCCCCATTTGATTATACTGCTCTTATAGATTATTCATCCTTTGTTTAAACTGCAAATGATTTCTTTGCCATGCTTTATAATTAATTGTAAAACGTTCGATTTGCAACGCTAATTGCAACTTTGTGTCCATTATGCCCACAGGGGCGTGTTGAAAAGGGGACCAAATTGGGCGGTGTAAATGCTGCTGATGATGGGTTACATTTTCCGACTGATATTCTCGGTTCTCAGTAACAAAGTAAATGAAATTTAGAGCACCAAATGTGAGAGGCCTCTGGGCGTTTGGATACCCATGTAGATGCTTTTCCGATTCCACACTTTTACCCCCGCAAAATAGCTCAATGACATCTATTTGCCTGTCACTATTTGAGTTGCATTGATTTGTTGACTTTGTCGCTTGCTGCTAATCGAAAACAAATGCACAAAAACCAACCACATTTCTCTAAGGGCATTCGAAAGACAACTAAGGGAAGTTTAATATATAATTAGGAAATTGTATATAATTTGCTTATATCGATTCACTTTTAGTCTCAAAGTTTGACTTTGAACTTCATTTCACAGAAATGTACATTTTTAAATAAAAATGTATAGCTGCAGTTTTATGAATTAAACTTAAAAACTATATCTTTGTTATCAAATTTTAGTTTACGTTTATATGAATTAAAGAGTGGCAATTGTGTATCATAAACTCAATTATTTTTCACGTTTTTATTGATTTAAAATTGTTTTGGAAATAATTGCTAGCTCTGCTATTATTCCGACCGCAGTTGTTCATGCATGATGTATTTGTGAAAACAAAAGAATTTTTGCCACGCGTTGATTTTGGCTCATAATTAACGCAGGACTTTGGCAAATTGGCAAACAGGACAGAAAGGACATTTCGAATGTCCAAGACAGACACGCCAAATGAATGACAATTTCCTTTGTTGTGCACCTGTGTGCGATTGCCGATGGCAATAAACAGGGCAAAGAGAATGCTGTTTTTCTCACTGCGGTTTGCCGATTGCCAAACGGGATGAAATATAAATGTTCCAATTATGTTTCGAAATTACACAAAAGGGCACAAGAAGGGACTTGCGCGGCAAAGTGTATACAAATCGTCATCCAAAATAGACAATATGACAAAAACAAAAATTCAATTAATATGCTAAATGTAAATTGATATTCTACATTGCAATGATTACACTTGTTCGTGCTTGTATTTTTAATCATAATCATTATGTGGTCCATAACACAGTTTAATGCGCCGCCGAGGACAATGGTCCTGATGAATATAATACGCTCAAAAGCATATTCAAAGCTTTGCCAATGTTGGCCACTTTCGGGCGCATCGAATTTTAATAGAATTAAGCTAATTGCCATAGAAAAGCCGCTTGCCCCGGGCCCAAGCACAAAATGCCGATGCGAATGAATCAAATGAAATGGGCAAACTGATTGAAAACTGATTGAAATTCGGTAATGGCGAAATTTTGGCATGTTCTGCAAGTAAATTCCCCAAAAACGCCTTTCAAAAAATGTAAAGATTCATATATTTTAAAGTTTGTAATGAAGAAGGTGCTGAGAAATTGATGCTTACAGATATAATCCGTAATCAAAATACTGCATTTGGTTTTGGAAATTAAAGAATAAATATAATTCACATAATTATTATTGAAGTTTGAAGGCTGTAAAACTGTAATAGTTTTAATGGTCAAAACCTTGAGCTTGAATGTTTAAAAACCTCATCACCCGAAAATCTTTTAACATATTTGCGAATTGAACTAAAAAATGTTTAGGGGAACTCCCCGGTTAGGAAAAACATGCATGGGCTCAGCAGAAAAAGAAAAGCCATTTTCCTTCAGCCAGTGCTATTTTCCGAACATCCCCGTTCGACCCTAGATTTTATTGAAAGCAAATATTTTTGCAAATTACATTTTGAAGGCTGAACCGGAAAAGACGCGGCTCCAATAACCAAATTCTCATTTCGCTAACGAAATAGAAGAGTCAGAGATCCATGGCAGAAGCAATTTGTTTGATTAATTTGAACGGCGGGAAAGGGGAGTTAGGGAGCGACCTTCATTATGTAAATTGTATGCGAAATTTAAATAATCATCTGCAATTTAAATGCACAACAACACTTTGGGCCGAGCCCCGACAATTAATCGTCGAAAACTCCCCTTCGCCCCATTATATCTCTTCATAAAATATGCCAAATGTGCGCCTTATGTTCATTTTCTATTTTAAGACAGATAATATATATTGCCTCCTGTTAGCATTAACTGCCTCGTATGCCAGTATCTGTTTCTGCTGTCTGTGTGGGCCATAAATAATTATTCATATTTGTATAAAATACACACAGAATTTAATTAAAAATTGTTTTGCTCCGGCCGAAAAGGGGAATCATCTCATCTTCAATTTCATTGGCATAATTCCCTTTGTTTTTGGACACTTCCTTACACTTGTTTCCCCCTTGTTTTTGTTTGCCAGAGAACGATGAAGTTGGTCCAGTCGAGTGCCATTGCCATTTTTGCTCATAATAAAATTAAAACGAAATGAAACGAGATGAAAAAGTAATAAAGTCCTTATGGAAAATGCCAGCCAAGATGGTCAAAGCTTCTGTTTAAGCTTTCACTTCTGTTTCCACTGCCTTTTCCACTTTTCCACTTCTGTTTCTGTTATTGCCTTGGCTTTGGCATCAAGTTCTCCTTCTGTTTCTGCCATGGCTACAAACATTGAATAGATGAGAGAAAAGCAACAGACGGTAATGATAAATATCTGGGGAGAGATGTCGAACAGACAACCAACCCATCTGTTGCTACCCAGTAATCATAATTGGAGTTATACGGAATGAATTGAATCTGACACAGAGGAAAAATGAATTGCTGTAGCTGGTTGCAAAAAATATATATTTTTCCTTATATTCCCAATAATTTCTAATAGTTGGGGAAAAGCCAATCCTAAGTTTTTTATATTAACATTTTATGGTTCTTGCTCCAAACTTGTTGATATTAACTACCTGGTAGTCTCTTTTTTCGAGGGTATGTTATGTTTTTATAGTCCCTCTTCTCATACACCCATTAATAATTGTTTGTTGCTAGTTAGGGCTTTAACTTGTCTTTGAGCTTTCGTGCACAACATTTTTGAAACGCCGAACCGTGTCCTTCACTTCAATTTTGTGTCTATCTGGGGGGATTCCTCTTTTTGGTCCTGGTTTGAGTTTGGGTCTCGGTCTAGCTTCTGCCTGCGCATAATTAAGCGGGAATCGCACTCCATTGTGAATTATACTTGGCCATTGCATTTAAGTGTTTTGCTCGTAAAAGCTACGAAATGGGGATCCGAAACGGAGAATTCCCGGGGAGGGGAGGCCAGACAGTGAATTCATTAAACCATTAGGCAGACTCCGGCTGAAATGGATGCGATTAACGAAAGACGCTTTCCGGCAAAGAGCTCCAAAACTCTGCGAACAAATCAAACGGAAATCAAAACCCAAACAAGTAAATCAAGCAAATCCAAAGCTCCAAACTCGGCCCTCTGAAAAGGGGCGGGCTATGGAAAAGGGGGCGGAACCGGCAGACACACAGACTGCGTCATCTGAAAATTGTTGCAATTACGTCGTAGTAAGCAACCAACAATGAGTGGAAAGCGAAATGGAAAGGGAAAACATGGCAGGCTAGGGAAAAAGAGAAGCTGCCCGGAATTTCCATAAACACAATGCCAAAATGATGCCCCCCAACCATTCAAATTGGAATCGCCCAGGGTTTCGAAAGAAGCACTCTTGTCAAAGAGTCCCCATGCACCGCGAAAAAAAATTAAAATGTTTTCCGATTCTTGCAACGGCATGTAATGTGTTTGAGGATAAGAATGTTATTTGACATCAGTTTTTAGTTCGAATACAAAAAGGTTGAGACCAGTATGAAAGTGCTATTGCTGATAGCTTTTCCTCAGTGTATTTTCAGAACCACAGGCAATGGCATAAAAGTGCCGTTCGCTGCCAGTTGTTGCTACGGTAAATATGGGTGGTTTTGGGAGGAGGGGGGCGTGCCAAGGGGTGCATACATTTGCGTGATTTACGAGCTGTCTCATATAGGCCGAAGGATCGCTTGGAGATGACGATGACGACGACGATGACGACGACAATGACTGTGACCAAACTCAGGGATCAAAGAAAGCTGACCGCATTGAATGGAATAATCGGCGTGACCCAAGCTGATTAAAAAGGGGAATTACTTAGATATGTATGATTGAAAACTATCAGTCATATTGTAGTGGCTTTTTATATTTCATAAATATAAGACTACATATTCCAAAGATACCTAACTGACTAGTCCGCTAATGAAACTTGTGTATTTTGACGGTATTTAATATTATGATTTTTTGTAAAATTAAAGAAAATATTTAATAAAGCTGAAATAGTTGCTTAGTTTAGCTCCTCAAGGATATTTGGTAAAAATATGATCCTATTAAAAACCTCCTGGTTTTTATGGGTCCTGCGTGATGTGATTGGCCCATCTCTATTTGCGTTATGACCTGACACACAATGGCACAATGTTGTCAACGCAATCAGCAGCCCACACAGTTGTTGCTACTCATGTTGTTCGCCCCTTGTGTTAGTTGGTGCAGAACAGAATGGGACAAGTGGACAGAGGATACTATTCCTCATCGAAGGAGGAGCTCTGGACATGAACGAATGCGTCATGCTGGCCGAATATGGCTGTGGGTGGTGCAAGTGGGTTACGAGTCTCAAATTGAATTGTTGGCAACACGTGACCGGGCGGGCGCCCCGTCAATAAAGTCGGAGTGAATGACAGGCCTACAAACAGTCTACAAGTGGCCACTCCCCGCATCCCGCATCCCGCATACCCCATCTCGCAAATCGCCTTGATGAATGGCATATTAAAAACTCTATAGCAAATGGTTTTGCCTTTTGTGGTTTCTACCGCAGGGTTTTTCGGGGTTGACCGACCAGCGAAACGCAAAATGTAATTTGCGTAAAATGAGTACGGAATTCTGTGGGAGAGAGCTTAGCTAGTTGATGTTTAGGGTTCGAGGTGAAGGAGTGGTTTTCCTATTTCAACCGAGTGCCATACACTGCTGGAAAATAATATAATAATAATATAACAATAGGTATTCATTTGCAAGACCACTAAATTTAAAACAACTTAAAGATTTCGACACAGTTTAAAGTTTTTTTCAGAAGTAAAACCTAGGAAATAAACACGTTTTAAAAACCACTTTAAAATATTTTATTTCGTATAAAATAATACTTTTTAAGTTATTTTATGTTTATACAAAATACCATCTACATTTGTATTGCACTTTGAACTTGTATTTTTCCACTTTTTGCGGTGCAGGGGACTGCACGCATTTGTCGAGTGCCTGGCGCAATCAATTCCCAAATCGCATTATGCCGCTGCCAGAAGTGAGAGTCCTGAGGAAAATTGCTCGGTGGCTTTTCAGGCAGTGGCGAAAGTGGGGAAAGTGGGGAGAGCTGGGAAGTACTGGCGACGCGGGGCAGTATCTAAAGTAGGAGGAGCACTGCCATCGACATCCTTCACAGCATTTGGCATTTTATGTGCGTCAACATCAGCAAGTCGCCAAGTGCATTGCGTGCCAAATAGTTTACGTGTCAGTGGCGACAAGAGTTCTCGATGGGTTGGGTGGTTTGGAAATTGCTGGTGGTGCATCTGCGATGTTGTGTCATTGTGGCTCTCTGCCCGTGGCAGATGCATCCCAATCCCACTACTTTATGGCATTTTGTTGCCCGTTTCTAGTCATCTCGGCATTGTCCACACGGCAATATTCCACCCAGCATGCAAATGCGATTGCCAAGCAGTCAAATCTTTAGATCGAAGACTCTTTAGTTTTCGACTTTGTTGTGTCCACAAAATCGTGGGCGAGAGGAACTTAGTTGCACAGTTGTTGAATTGAAATAACAGCTTATGATTATTTGATTAGTTTTACTTCACGTGGCATTTGTCTTTTGCAGACAAAGTTAATGGGTAAGAAACTATCGATGCTACTTTGTCTATCTTTGTTACTCTCTTCTTGTAGATTAAAGTAATTCTGCTTGATAATGGAAAAACAGAATCTTACAAATTTAATTTAATATACCATACAATATTTAGAGTACCACCGCATGAGAACAACTCTTTAAACAAAAACCCGTAAGAAAAGGAGGTGCTGGGCACGCACCCGAAAACAAACACGGGGCGTATACTTAACCTTGAACTTATGCAAACTTTAGATCGGCTGGGCGCTATTAATAGGCCGCAGGTGAATGCGATCGGAACCAACAGTGGTTATTTATTTTTAACTACAACTTAAGGGAATGGAACTGACTATAAAACGGGATTGAAGAGCCGAAGAAAGGCATCAGTCAGCGGCTCAGCGATTCCAAGTGAAGTTAGTTGCACCACCAACGTAAAATAGGAATCAACATGAAGTTTACTCTTTGTATTTTGATTGGTAACATTTTATTTGGCACCACTTTTACCCTCATAATATAACTATAATTTTGTTATAAAAGCGAGTGTTCTGGTGATCGGCTGTTCGAGTTCGCCTTCAGTTCCAGGATGTGGATGCACGGAAACAACAACCACAACAACAACACCAGCCACTACCTCTTGCACGACCACCACAACAACGACAACAACCCCACGTCCACCAACCACTACCTCTTGCGCGACCACCACAACAACCACAACAACAACTAAAAAGCCAACAACAACCACAACAACGACAACAACTTGTAAACCAACAACAACCACAACAACGACAACAACTTGTAAACCAACAACAGCCTCAACAACAACAACAACCACAACAACAACAACCACAACAACTCAAAAGCCAACAACAACGTCAACAACTTGTAAGTCAACAACAACTACAACAACAACTAAAAAGCCAACAACAACTACAACAACAACTAAGAAGCCAACAACAACAAGTTGCGCCACCACCACAACAAAGAAAACTACCACCACTAAGAAGCCCAAAACAACTACAAAGAAACCAGTTACAACCAAGAAGCCCAAAACAACTACAAAGAAACCCGTTACAACCAAGAAGCCCAAAACAACCACTAGAAAACCTGAGACAACCACCAAGAAGCCATCAGGTGGTTGCAAGGCATGTGGTCCCGGTGGTGAACCCTGCTCAGGATGCCCGAGTCGGGAGAATCTGTGCCAGGAATTGACCAACCTCATAAAGAATCTAGATCGCAAGATCAAGCAGTGCGTCTGCGGAGTGCCTTCGTATTTGCTGTAATGAAAAACACTACCAATTGAAGGTAAAACCACCAAAGTTTGAAAGATAGTGACCTAGATGAAGTTCCAAGGATACTGATCACTGATCACCTGAACGGATTATTGTTTTGCTTAGTTCTATTTTTATTGATTGAATAAATTTTTACATTTTGCATATAAAGTTGATGGTTTTCATTAGGTGTAAATATATTTATTTATAATAACGATTATCACGATTTAATAACGATTATCACGATTTAATTACGATTATCAAATGCTTAATTTGGCTATTTCTAATAACATTTGTGGCATTGTATTTTTTGGTAGATAAAGCCTTGGTTATGAAACATATTTTATTCTCATTCGCACAATTTTTAAGCTGTTCACATATCTACTCCCATCTCTTAAAATAACTGCTAAAAATAGTGCTTCTCACATTTGCCCCTTTACTGTCGCATTTATCGAAGTATTTCCGTTTCCATTGACATCTGCGCGTTTCCTCTGCTCAAACACTTTCCAAAATCCATCATCATTGAATGTGACATCACCATCATCATCATCATTGACATCTATTCCGTAGATCCCCATCCCCGAATCCATCTCTATTCATCTGTCGCCTTCAGTAAGCGTGCACGTTTTATAATTCATTTGCAGTTCCTTCAACAATTTCGTGAATATTTCATTTGGTTTCGTGTGGAACAATTTTTACAGCTCGTTTGTCACTTTCCCACCTCGTATCTCCCACTTTTCCCCGCCTGAGAACCGCATGCAGCACTGCATGAATAATGCAGTGATCCGATCTGTGGGCGGAATCTGTCACAGATACTCCCTTACCCACTGAATCCCGAACATATGCATACTTATGCATCCGACGGATACATTTGAATTGACTTGGTTTATTCACCGGCAAGAAGCAAAGACGATTAGCTAATTGACTAATTGTAATTGTATTCATTAGGGGGGAAGGGGGTTAGGTATTAGGCATTCATAATCTATCATTTAATTAGGATTCTGGTTGGGTTCATTGATTGAAGAATAGGGAATCAGTAGTGCTAACTATTTAATAGAGTTCTATTGTACAATAATTAGCTTACATATTTTGTGGAATACCAAGAAAAGTTCGAAAGTAATGTTTCTTTGTTTTATTATTCATCGAATTGAAATAAGTAATTATATAATTACAAATTTTTCAGAGCTTCACATTTTGGACTTCCTTAATCAGCCAGCGCGCAAAGGCAAAAACCAGTTCAATTCATTAGACTACCACTTGCATAAATAGGTTCCCGTTCATAGGCCTTTGTTGGTCCTTTCTACAATATTGAGCCCAAAACAGCAGCATTCAATCAGGCTCGGATTATTGCGGAGTGCAACACACTTCTGTGATTTCTGAGCCAATCACAGTGGCAGATGCACAATCCCAGACTCTCGAATCGAGCCGAACCAAATAAAGCCCCTTTGCCGTTTTTCCTCTTGCCATCAATAGCCTTCTTCCCAAACTTTTCATCTTGCTACTAATATTCAACACTAAAAAAAACAAATGAAGAAAAAGTTTCCATAAATCATAAGAACATCTCATACATACATTGTGTTCATCAAAGCATTCGTGATATCTACTCCTGTAGATTTAGGAAGTATACTTAAAGAATATTAGATACTCCGTCTTGTACTTCATATTTTCAACATTTAACTTTAAAAAAATATATTTAACGTAAAAAGGTCATTAAAATTTTAGAGAAGATTTACAAATTTGATTAAAGAAATATTTTAATTACGACGTTCTCCTCTATTTATAAAATTTAAAATTAAAACATGTTCTTAAAACACATTTTTCCTTTCCAATAAGTGATAGATCGCAAGAACAATGGTTAAATAATTCACACAGAATTAAAAAACATACTTAGTATTAAAATTACATAATCGTTATATAAAGATTATTAAAAACATAATGGTCATTTTTTGAAGTGCACTTTCCTTTCACTGTGTCCCAAAGTTTCCCCTCTTACTTTTAATTCCGAATGTTGGCTAAACACAAAGTTTGTCATGGCTTGCCAAAAGGCTTCTTCCTGAATTTCCTCCTTTGCCACCTCCATCAGAACTCCCAGAGTTTTTGGGGGTTTTTGAGGTTCATGTATAATACATGTGGCTGCAGAGGACCAAAAACCTCCAGCAAATGTCGATGGCTGTCAACGCAACTTCGGTGCGGAGACAATGTAACTCGAAGCTAGACATTGTGTTGCTGGCTTCAGGGCGGGTAGAAGGTGGCTAAGGGGGGTAAAAAAAGGGGGCCCTGTGACAACAACAACCAACCCGTCGAGTTGTGCAACAGAAACTGCAATGACTGAACGATTATGCCAATGGCAGGCCATGTCTAAAGCAAACGATTTGTCACAGTGCCAATGGAGTTGAGTCGAGTTCTCCGGCGTAGTTCAGTTCCGTATTTCGGGGGAGTTGGTAGCGGGGTGTCGGTTTTATTGCCAATAACAGGGGGTGATGTGGGGGGAAAGGAAGGCAGAACCGCAAACACTTTACCCCAAAATGTGGCAGAAAGAGACGTTTCTCCTTGGGTCCTAAATGGCAGTAAAGGCAGCTTGCACTTGAGCAACAAGAGGTGGACTTAAATATTAATTGCTATTTTTTAAAGAATTCTTACAAAGATGCAAATGGTGAAAAACAGCCTTGTATGAAGTTTTTAAACTGAGAAGCCTATTTAAAATTTTTAATTTCATAATTTTACCGCTTACAACAAACGCGGTCGTACAAAATTAAACCAGTCAGAGTGTAAGCAAAGCAAAACAAATAAAATACTGTCAGTACACTTAAACAATGTTATTTTTGACATTCGTTCCATTTTGTCTTAGTGTATTCCGTCCAGCAAGTGGGCGGGTTTTTGCTGAGTGGCCAGCCCGCTTCGATTTCGAAACTCCAGCTGCGACAACTGCAGGGGAGTCGTTCGTCCTTCGTCCCTTGTTCCTCGGCTTCGTCCTTCCCTTGACTCCCCTTTCCAGCTACTCGAACATGACACCAAGTCCAAAGTCGTTGGCTGTTCATCCTTTTCATCCCGCTGCCACTCCTACTTTTCCATCCCCTTTTCCCTTTCGGTTGTCCTTGCCTTTTGCCCAGCTGCAAGTGACAGTAATTGTTTTATTGACATTGATTGACATGGCAGGGGGGTAAAAATGGTTAAAGGAGGTTGTGCAATGGAGCAGGCAGCATCCTGCCGGATCTGAAAAGGGAAGCAAGCAGCCAAGTCAAGCCAAAGACAAACTGCAATGCCAAATGCGAATTCCAATCCCAATTTTTGTATCTAGCTACCCGCCCCAAGTATCCCTTGTCTCCCTTGTCTCCCCATTTGAGCAGCTCAAAAATGAGCAAAAGATTTCAATTTCATTTTGATGGATCGCATTTACCCACCCACTTTTCCCCGATTCATGATGCACTTTTTGACTCTTGCTTTTGTTTACCCTTGTAAGCCGCTGATTAAACCATGCAATGCTGCAGCTTTTTTGGGTTCCTGGGTTTCCCCCCAGATTTTCCTTCGGATTTTCCAACTTCTCCAGCAGCTGGTGGCTGATGGAAAAGCAACACATCAATTTCTGGGCGAACCAGCACAATGAATGTTGTGTGTCGTTGTAGCAAAGACAATTGTTTGATTTTCCATAGGTTTTAAAGAAGTTGCATTGGGAAAGTGACATTAATATCAGTCGTTGTTGGTATTTTTGACTATTTTTTGTCATAATTTACTGTAAAGTCTTTATTTAATGAAGTTGTTTCGATTTAACAGCGATTGCTACAATCTAAGTATATATTAAGCGAATGTAAAACTTAAAGCTTAAACTCCTTGAGTGCAAAGAAAGTTTGCACACAAAATTGTTTTAAAAAATTATTTTAATGTACATAAAAATGAGTGCAATAAAATACTTCTTTCCATCTAAAAAAAATTTGCCAAACTTTCTGACTTGGCTGCACTTTTCATTCGGCTGCGAATGCGGATTAGTTCTTGTGTAATGCACATCAATCCAAGAGCCATATCCTGAAAATATTGAAGTTTTCTTCTGCACTCCTGCCATTTATTTTCCCTTTTCATTTCCATTTGTTGTCATGGCAGCTATGACTTTGCTTCTCCTTGTTTCTCCTCTTGTTTTTCATATTAATTATGAAAGCGCATTTGGTGAACGGGAAATTTATTTGGCTTATATTTCGATTTCGGTTTTGTTTTTCTTTTCCTCTGCTTACATTTTTTGCCATATTATTTTTGGCAGCATACTCAGGGGCGGATACTCAGGGGAGCGAGAGGTCGAATTGGATGTGAAATGTGATGCTTAATTAGTTTTTATGCTGCTACTGGTGATTACGGTGATGATCCTGATCCCGATGATGACGGTGATGAAAATAGGAAGTGGAAAGCGGTAATCGGTAAGGAGAAGCTTAGTTTCCCTGTTTCATTTGGCTTGGCCTGAAAGCGGATTTCAAACCAAATTTGTGAAAATGAGTAAAGAATTTTGATTGATTTTAAGAGTAACATAGAAACAATTTTTTTGAAATATTATACATGGCGATGTAAACTACTTAATATCTATAATACGACCTTGATGAAAAGTTTGCAAAGTTGGAAATACTCTTTCTACTTTTACAATACAAAGAAATATATATTTCAGTGGTATGTGTAACCACACATTAAAGAAATCGTTATAGCTAGATATTTTGTAGTATTATTTGGATTTGCGATAAAGTTTAAATGAAAACGGCGGCTTCGCTTTTTATTACTTTGCTTTTCATTTGCAACAATTGCCTTAGTCAATACAAGTTTTTATTATTTCTTATTTGGCCAAAAAAAACACACATCCACAAGTTGGTCGAGAAGAGCCATTGCTAGGCAACGAAATTTTTTTCCCTGAATTGCCTTTTATGGTGTACATTTTACCAAAAACGACTCATAACTATCGGAGAACAGAATTCACTCGATTCGACTTCGACATTATTAGTTTTAGCCTTACATCGATAGCTAAAACATTATTATTTTTCAGTGTTTTTTTTGTCAACTCGGTCATGTCCTAAATTCCAATATTTAATTGGACAATGACACTTGCCCATTATTTGGCAAAGAATAATTGGTTAATAATTACCTTAAAAAAGTTCTGGTGTGCAATGGAATTATCAGCAACTTTTATTTATAGTTCAACTTTCCCAGCTATTAATAAGGGCATTTTTTCTAGTTTTCCCTTTGTGTGTTTATTTAAATGTAGTCACAGTCTTGTGCAAAAATACTGCCTGACACACACAAGAAGTGCAAAAAGATCTGCAGTCGACAACAACTTTGGAAAACTGATAACGGACGGCAACAGGAAATGTCGAGTCCAGGCAACAACAACTGCAGTAAAAAGGGGTGGTAGAAAATCGGAGAGGAAACTGAAAACTCTGGTCAAGCTGGCAAAAGAAAATCCAACAGAATACAGCGAAAAAAACAAATTATTTCATATTGCCTTATCGAAATTTCTATCTCTGTCTTATCTTAACCCTATATTGTAGACAATTTTAAATTGTTTTTAATTTGTTTATAATCTTATCTATAATAAATATTGAGCATTAAATGGAGCACCGAAATTGGTATAAAAATATAATTTAAGATAGAGAAATGCATATGATTTTCTCTATAATAAATTGTTTGAAAACAAACAATGAAATTTAACTTAATAGTTGAGAAAGCAAAAATGCCTTGTCATACATTAAGCTTATTTTCATAAGAATCTGTGTCCATCTATGTATTTTTACTTAGAGTGTAAAGGCCCAGTCCCAACGATAAAGTTGCAGTCTGGTCCGCCATAACTTGAGTGCATAAATCTTGGCCAGGTTTTGTGTTGTGCCAGGCGCACCCCCTGCAAGCCAGTACGGCCCCCTTTTAGCCCCTTAAACCCCCCGAGGCCCAACACAAGGTGACATCTTTGGTGACTGGCACGTTAAAGTAGCCGAATCTCAACTCCACTCCACTTCTACTTCCATTGACCAATGTCCAGACACTGCATAATAAATTGTAGCCGTAGTGTTATAAATATTCGGAGGCCCTCGAGTCCCGTCTTCTATATTCCCCCCTCGATTGGGATCTTAGGCACAAAACTGAAATGCTGACGCAGCTGATAGAAATAAGAAAACAATAAAAACGTAATGCAGAGACATTTTATGTCATGGGGAATATTGAGGAATGACATACCCTACCTTTAAAGGAAATAGCTGCAAAGAAGTGCACTGAACGGTCTAAATAATGAATGATTAAATACAATTTTAAGTTTTATGTTGGTGAATAAACATTTGTTTTCTTTTTGAGTGTCAGTACAGTTTTCAACGATTAGTAGATTTTTATTTTTGATTAACAAAAAATATGTTTGAAATAAAAGCACAATTTTGTATTAATTGAATGCCAGACTGTTTCAATATATCAAGACAAAATATCAAGTCTTTTCCTATATTCCAGAACAAAAGGCGTGTTGCAACTTTTTCAGGTTGGATATCGGTATCCAACACAAAAGTGCTAACTGAAAAACAATAATAATGCAGTTGCCGTCGTTTGTTTTTTCTTTTTTACACCACTTAGTGGTCAAGCCCATTAAGGGAAAATGGGGCTGAGTGGGTGTGGATTTTCCACCGTGCCGCCAAATATGCGGCGAAAACAATAAATTAATGCGATTTATTGCCGCGATAAGAACGGGACAGTAAGAGGCCTAGGGACTTGGAAGGGAATACAACAGGGTGTCAAGGGTGCGTCCCTTTTTCAGCTACGTGTGTGGGCTTGTCCGGAATGCGATAGATAAGGGACACCCCTTAAGCCCCACATTACCACGCAGTTTTCCCTGCAAAATTTGTCCCCTGAAAAATTTACGATGCAGCGCATATATACATAGATAGATCCCTTAACCATCTCTAACCCCTCCAGTTTGCAGATAAGTCGGCTTACTTACCATTTAATTAGGGCCTCAATGAGCATTAGGGTAAAAATGCGCCAAAAGCAACTTAAGGCACGCCTCCTGTCTGGCCCATCAAAATGCCTTTTTAATTAAAATCCAAAGAGGAATAAAAAAACGGAATATTCTCGCCGCCAAATGATGTGTGAGAATTCGATAGAGAGCGACGGCAGGCGTTAAATCACAATGGCAAACAGGAAGTCAGGAAAATAAAAAGTAAGGGAGAAAACCCAAAAACCGACAAGGGTGCATGCAAAACGCTGCGGAAAACTCAAGGCTGGAAAATCTTGTGTGAAAATTTGTTGAGCGTGCAAACTTGGTATTTCGTTGAGTTTCGATGGGGCTTTCGGTCTGGGATTCGTCTGGTCCAGAGGCAATAATTGCATGAAATGCCCAGAAAAATATTTCTGCTGAGAGCGGCACAAATCGTTCTTACACGTTAAGAAATTTTAATTGGGCTTTAAATAAAAAATTCAGAATTGCAGTTTTGGTTGTAAGAAAATGATATGTGAAAGTACTTTTTGGCTTTTCTGTGAACTTCATTTTTCTATTCTTAGCAAAATGTTTAGTTAATTTAAAATGAAATCAGGTTTCGATTGTAAAATGTTAAAGTTCCATCTTTGATTTTATTTATTTATTTCTGTGTAGAGGAAGGGAGTGATGGAGGTTGTCTGGTTACTGGTTGTCTGGTTACTGGTAACTGGTCTCGTGCCAGACGCTAAGCTGCCACTAAATCACAACCGAAAGCCGCTGTTAAAACACGAGCCTGCCCCCGAAAAACTCGGAAAACTCGGTTGGTGGTTGCTTTGGCTTGGGTTTTGGGTTAGGTTATTGGGTTCCTGGGTTCTGCACGTTTTTTTCTTTCATTTGGCAGCAGTCGGTGGTTGCAACAGCCGCTGGCAGGACACGTGCAACACCCAGATTCCAAGGAGAGGGCAGTGAAAATAGAGGTTATGGGGTTGACTGACTGATGGCAGCAGCAGAATCTGCAGGAGAAGAAACTGGGACTCACAACCGGAGGCTATTCCCAGTAACTGAGACTTCCCACAATATTTGATTATAGACGAAGTCTGCGCTACTACTACGAATCTCGTTAAATGCGTCCAAATATGTTTCATTCCCGAGGGTAAGCTTCAGCCACTTCCCACCTGCGTTTTGCGCATTCAATCTTGCTCTTTCATAAATACAATATAACCTAATTTGATTGGGTTATTCATAGTTATAATTGGAGGAAAGTCTGATATAAGGCCCAAATCTTAGGGAGATTATAATGTGTACTTTAAAGATGAAGAACTTGATTCTAAATTTGCATGTGAACTGCATCACATTAGATGCTTGCAAATTCATTGTAAATCAAAGTTCTTCTTCAGAGACTGTCTTTACTTACAATCTGTTTGGTTCTCATTCTAATAGGAATCATCCCTGTCCATATAATGAAAGTACTTCCGAAAGTGATAATAGTTGCTTCATTAATTCTGCACATTTGTTAACATGATGTCAAGGAAAAGGCACCAACTTCTCCCTTGAACGAACAAACGAAAGTTTTGCCCTTCACCAAAGGGGTTCGTTATCATTTGTTATAGCACTGCTTCAAAATATTTGTAATGACTTAATGACCCAACGCGAAGTATTAAAAAAACAATTTGATCTTCATATTTCAATATTAGATTAAATTCAGTACTTTTAAACACTTAAAAAAATAGATTTAAATTTTTCGTATTTTAAATATATTATTTTTTTTACTTTCTTATATAAATAATTTGTTGGGCACTAGCAATTCAGATAGGGGCCTTTCAGTTCCTCCGCTATCGGTACATTTTTATGACCCGCAACCTCACATCCATCGGTTCCATTGGACATTACAATGGCCACGCCCATCTTTTGTTTATATTTCCCTATATAATAGGCACTTAGATAGGGGTCCTTTGGTCCCCTTTCTTATTGGTTATTTGTACGTCCGCACCCCTATAGATCGGACCCATTGCGTATGTCCACGCCTGTTTCCTCAAAATAATCATCGTCGTCGTTATCGGTATCGCACAATGGGTGCTCCATGTTGTTTGTGTTCCGATTCCGCAAATGGCCTCTTCGTTTTCTCAGACTTTGCATAGCCTTCTTGAAAGTTACGGTCGTCTCGTTGTGGGGTCTGGTACCACCGTTTGGGATTAGCCAGCGATGTGTGATATTCCCCAGAACAACCACAAGGACTACGCCGACAAGTAGGTACAACGCTATTAAAGCTGGGTTGGGTGTATTCTCGTTAGTGTCCGTGTGGCCATCGATGTCCTGCGGATCAACCTTCCAAGTGATGCGCTTCCTCTGTGGTGGCGTTGTGGCGGTTCCGATTCCTGGTCGATTTTAAATGTTATTTAGAATTCACATTTTAATTTTTCGAGTCATATTAAAAAAATTAATAGATAATTAAATTTCTATTCTTACCAGCAATCTTTGGGGAACTGGAAGTTGAAGGCGTTGTTGTTTTGGTTGTTTTCTCTGTTGTCAACACTTTCTTTGTAGTTGTTGTCTTGGGTGTTGTCGAAGTCGATGTTGTTGACGTGGTCGTTTTCCGCGTCGTTGTTGTAGGTTTTTTAGTGGTTGTTGCTGTTGTTGTAGTAGTTGTTGGCTTTTGTGTTGTTGTTGTAGTTGAAGTTGTAGTTGGCTTTGGTGTTGTTGTTGTAGTTGTAGTTGGCTTTGGTGTTGTTGTTGTACTTGTAGTTGGTTTTGGTGTTGCAGTTGTAGTTGTTGTTGATGTCGTTGTAGTTGTGGTTGGCTTTGGTGTTGTTGTTGTAGTTGTTGTAGTTGTTGTTGGCTTTGGTGTTGTTGTTGTGGTGGTAGTGGTTGGTGTTGTTGTTCTTCTGGTTGTTGTTGTCGTTGTTGGTTTCTTTGTGGTGCTAGTGGTTGCTGTAAAGCTCACTTCTTCATCAGTCGTTGTGTCGAGCCCATTAACACACTCGTCCAAATAGTTTAGGCAACAATTGTCAATTAAGAGACAAGAATCATCGCAGCCACAACTCAAGATGGCATGTCCATCGTTAAAGGTGGAACCAAAATTCGTGGAACCGCATCGACCCGTACAGCTCATCATATCCCAAACCAGTGGCATTTCGCTGCTGGCTGTCGGTGGTGCCGGTGGTTCGGTAGAGGTGGTAAATCCATTTGCCCCACAATCGCTGCCTGTCATCAGCTTTACGTCATCGATGGCAATGTCTCCGAACTGCGCTCTCGCATCCGTGGCTGTGAAGATCACCTGGAAATCCTCCTGCATCTCATCTATGGCGATCGTGTGCTCTATCCACTGGGTTCCCTGTTGCCCTTCCACCTCGAATTTGCTGAAACTGGGGAGAAGAGAATAGAATTATTGGGTAAACGTTTTTATAAGAAAAGCGAGAAACTCTATTTACATTTGGTTGGCATAGAGCATTAGCTTTTACAGTTCACAAGGTCTTAACATCAAAAATGTATTTTTCTCCCAGTTTCGGGATGAATTACATCAAGAGAAGTTGATAAAAGCAAGCAGCAAGAACTTTACAGCTAAACTCGATCTTGTCATGAAATGAAAATAAGTTCCCCCCTTTTTATCGCTCTGCATGCCACGCCTTTATCGAATTGCGCATCCGGTGCGGAGAAACTCACTTGGCCCTGAACCTGTTCCACATTTCGGTCATTCGCATCGAGACGGGTTTCACGGACACCACCAGACTGCCCACGCCCGCTCCGTACATAAAGTAGTGGAACCGGAAGCAGCAGGCGGTCTTCAGACTTAGGGATCTGGGATAGATCGGCGACATAAAGTGGTAGTTCCCATAGGCCCCGCTCTGGGTCTCCATGCGCATATAGTGTCCGCCGGAGTGGCTTCTGAAGGTGTGGTCGTGGTGGGGTCCGGTTTTCAGAGAGTGAATATCGTTCACCGCGCTGACCCGCCGCCAAGGTCGCCGGAAGGTCGCCTCCGCCTCCCAACCGCACTGATCATCGCTCTCAAAGTCACAGGAATGGTCCCCTGTGTAATTACTTCTCCGACAGGTTCCCAACTGGGTGTTCCACACTTCTCCATCGCAGTAGGCAACTCGATTGCCCACCAACACAAAGGTATCTCGGCACATGACTTCCGAGCTCAAGCCACTAGATATAACAACTCCATTCTCCGTCTGTTGAATACCCACGCAACCATCCCCTAAAAGATGGAACATATGAGGGATATCAGTAATTTGCATTTAGTCTATCAATTCAATATGTCATTAAAACTTTTTTATATAGCGCGCCTGTTAATTTTAAACTCTTATTTTAATTTACCACAATTTTTACAATAGATAATGTCTCATACATAACATATCTGCACGGTGTTGCTATTAAGAAATGTTTCAAATTTTTTCAGGATTTCTTGATCCTAAAATTATTTTTTGTTTTTGATAAAATATTAACGATTTTTTTTAGTTCGTTACATTTTAAGCCGATTTGTTATAGCACTTTTGGCACTTACTGGCACAGTAGGGTTTTTCTCCTCGAACTCGGCCATCACGGTCGCAGCTGTGCAGCGGACTTCCTTGCAGCGTGAACCCGCGATCGCACCGAAATCTAATTAAATTCCTCAATCGATAACTGGTGGAGCCATTTTCTAAATTTACACTTCTTTCACATCGTCCATAGGACTGATCTATAATATATATCAAAAGCAATGGCAGAGTCCAGAAAAATTCCATTGCTGTGAATGCAGTTGATATTTGTATTAAAAAGTTGACTGAAGACTGAGCGGCGATCGAGAGCTACTAAGCAACTGTTCGTTACACTGAACTGTTGAATCCCCAGAACTGATAATTCTCGAGTAACGATGGCCGTTGAGAGGCTCAGCCCTCTGGAGCTCTCATAAGAGCGCCTGAAGATAAGCACTTTATCGTTCATTCATTAAACTCGCTTTTATTCTTTGTTGTAGTAAGACATTTTTTTGCCACTTTTTTCTTGGAATTGTGTATTTATTATTTCGAAATGTTTTGAAATTGATTAAAAAATGTATTTTTTATGTTCAGCCACTGCTGCCCCCGCTCCTTTTGACAAATAAATTTAAGTTTACTGTTAAGAAGTGTAAATTGAGATTGTGGACCTTATGTCACAAGAGATCTAAGTCTCACAAGAGATCTAAGTCCCCGAGATGGTTTAAAAAATCATCGTTTAGTTTATTCCTACGATACTTCACCAAACTGGGATTGCAGTTTCGATTTGAGTCGCTATACAAATGCAGTTATGCGCATCTCCTGTCAGAATGGATTGCGGGGAGCTGGAACTAAATGGTAGCAGCTTCTTCCTGTCGCCTTGCAGCCTAAATTATGGCCATATCCTGGAAAATCCTGGAAATAATTGCCGAGGGTGGGGTCCTTTGCTGTGATTTATGTTTACTTCCGCTTAAGTCTCAAACAACTCGCAATCACAACGGTCGCCGTCTCCGCATCTCTCTCAAAATCTCCCCCACTTTCGCCGTGTCGAGATAATCAGTCAATATTGACAACTACTTATTGGCACTTCCGATGAGCGCGGAATGGGGTGGCGAAGGCCACGTGACCGGGGATCAGGAGCTGCCACGTGTCCGGCAAAATGCAACGGAAAGTGTAGAGAATTCCCGTTCTCCGTTTCCCCGATTCCCCATCAGCAATTCAAATTTCATTCATAATTACAATCAGTGAAACAGGAAAGTGGATGGTGAATGGTGGTGGAATCTAAGCGAGGTTTCTAGGCATCAGACTCTTAACATCGAAGGGTAACTCACGGACACATAGAGAAAAAAGATAAAACTAATATGGAATTGCTTTACATAGTTGCCTTTCATTTAATAATATTTATTTTGTTTTATATTATCACTTCCAAGTGTTCATAAGAAAGCCGTCACCATCAAAATAAATTAAATATATATATGTTATTATTTATTTAAAGTTATCACCATTAATTTATAAACCACATTTATTTTTGCCCACATACTTCCTTTGGTTTATGTAACAAGATATCAAACAAATATTTATATGAATTTTATAAAATTATGAATAATTTGTCTCGTTTTTTTACATGTAGGAAGATTGTGAGTTCCGCCCTCTTAGTGTTGCCGCTTCTCTGATAAGTTTCTGGCTGCTTAAATATTTGCTCATTATTATTATTATTCTTTTATTTGCGGCTCCAGCCACTGTTGCCTTGCCGGTGGTTTTGAAACTCTAATATTTGCGCTCAAATTACGGAACCCAACCAGCGGCCGGTTGGCTGTCTAGTTGCCTAGCAATGAAGGTGGTTCGGATGGTGGGTATTCCTTTCAGAGGTCCAAAGAGCCCAATCGGTGGCCAGGATTAGCAGCAAATGAGCAGCTGTTGTCAGGAAGGGTCCGCCAATAAGAAAAATGGTCCCGAGGCCAGTTTTTTAATGGTTTTAAGTTCCGGAAAAAAGCCTCACATGGCAAAACAGTTAGTCAATTAAATCCGTTACTGTGGAAACAAACATATATTTTTGTAATATTTAAATACATATGTACTATGAAATTAAAAATCATTTCAATTCAAAGTTTTAAAGAACGTGTAATGAATAAATGTATCTGAATAGGATACTGTATAGTATAAGTACAATTTAGCTGTTTATTATGATATGGCGACCCTGCAGTTGGGCCTTCGTTTGGCTCTCCATTTTGGTTTGAATAGCTATCTGTCTTCTTCGAAGTCTTTCCAGCCTCTTTATATTTTCATTTATCTTTGAGAGATCAAAAAAATTTGACCGCTCCTGGTGCTTGTGAAAATGTTTTTTTCGCTGCCTTTAAACAAGACATGCAGTATTGTTGATAAGTCCAATGTTCTTGTAATAAAAAAATATCATTTACGCATTGGCGTATTTTTATAGTTATTTTGTTTTTTTGCAAACAAGTTTGATTTGTGTAAGAAATTTCCGGTTTCCAAATTCAGATCCGAAACCTAAGGCCCGTTTTCTCGTCTTTACGCTTATCTAAAATGTAAAAGGTTAATTTTAATTTTAAAACCTTCTCTTAGAGATTTACGCCACAAAACAACTAAATGAAATATTAATTCAATAAACCAGAACTTAACTTTCTCATCAGCTGTTCATTCCGTTTGCATATGCCACAATATAATTGTGTTTTATCGCAACTTTCGCCCCAAGTTGAGTAGTAGAATTTCGCGCCAAAAACTGGCACACACGTTCAAGTTAACGCGATTAATGGAGGCGCCTTGTTTCTGAGTGATGTGAGGCCCCAAATGTGGAAGTTCTGCAGGAGTTAGGGCGCCAAACTTCAAAGATTACGTCGATAATTAATAAAATTAAACACAAAAGCACTCAACGAGCTGTCTGTTCCCCTCACATGCCTCTTTATCCAGGGAGCACGACCGCAGACGGCCGGGGGACTCTTGCGATTTGGTACGGCTTTTGGACCCCTGCAACATTAGGCGGCCGTAGGCGTGCCAAGTCGCTCTTTGGTCAGCTTCTGGTCGCATTAATTACAAACCAATGACCACAGAACACAAACAAACATAATGGTCGATGGGGGGATAGGGCATTCCCTCTCGATAGGGCTTCAAACAGGAGTCTATAAGGTTACAGAAGAATTTTTTAAAGCAGTCTTTAAAAAAAACATAAATCTATATATAAATCCATTAATAAATAATCAATAAATTGTTATTTTTATTCGTACAACTTATTTTAGACATAATAATAACAGTCCCCAATAAAAAATATGAATGCCATTTTATCATTTTATTAATGTTTTGTAAATGTAATTAAACAGAAACAATGTTTTACAAATAATTCAATCATTTATTGTTAAATTCTATTTTAAAACTAACAATTTAAAAACTAACAATATATGTTTACTTATCTAATGAAAGGCACAATTCGAATATTCCTTTTCGACACCTCTGATCGTGTGGAATCCAGGTAGCATCCACTTACGTTCAAGGATGACTACTCATCGGGTCTTTAATTTGCGGTAATTTATGGAACTCATTATGTCCGCGGGCGTGCTTTTGGCTGCAATCGTGGGATTCAGTTCCTACGCCGCCTGGCGATCTCTTGAAAAGTTGCCATTTCTGACGGCAGTCCGAAAGTTTTCGCGTAATTTCATTTAAAGTCCTTGAAAGTTGCAATTGTTGCTGTGGACGAGGAGGCATTAAGCTTGTGGTTCTGGCTGTTTTTCCCGCGTCTAATGGCAGCAGTTCCTCGCTCATTATCCTGCTGATTTTTAGCACGACTTTTCCGACAGCCCCGCAATTCCGCGAATTTACACCTACACACATAAATGTGGCATAAATCCAATTAGGCGCTGCCGGTGCGCTTTAATTGACGGCGGTTGCCGCCTACGTGCTGGATGAGCCACCCTTGGTCACGGGCGGGTTAAGGGGGCGGCGGCCGCTCAGGGGTTAAGGATGGAGCCGAGCGGAGTAAATGAATTTCCATACGCCGCTTTTGTTTTCGCCACCGAGATATGAATAAATGAATGAGTGCGGTTCGCTTCAGTTCAGTTCAGTTCAGTGTGGTGCGGTGGCAGGGTGGTTCCCTGGCTCTTTGTGGGCTTATATAGGACAGGTGACAGCTCCTGTTCTTGTTCCGTGGCCCATATTTTACGAATTGCAGCTAGATCACAACCGCTGGCAGGGACTGCGAGAAAAAATGGGTTAAAATATTATGAAAAATTTTAGAACAATTTTAAAAATTTCAATTAAGCTTAAGTAATTCTAGAAAGCAGGAACATATTTTTATTGCCTGGATGTTAAGTAAATCTACTTTCTTTTTTTAAATACCTTATCTTCTTGTTCATTAATTGACTTAAATGGTTCTTAAGCATATCAATGGATTGAAAAGTTTGGCTATTTTTTCATTTTCTAAAAATCGAGCTGAGTTTTTCCGGATCTTGGCCATCAAAGAAATATATTGAACACACATTTTTTAAGCGTTTTTTGTTGTAATTTTGCCGAAATAAGACGCACAGCCAAGAGAATGACTGTTTCGTGCAGCTGAGAACCTATATAATCAATTCTAGGTTGATTTGACAAATTTTATTTTTTTTACCGATTTTCGCATTTTTCATAAGGGGTAACACTTGATTTTTTTTTGAAATTTGGGCCGAAATAAAATTTTTTTGCTGATAATACCGGTAAATGGGAAATTTTGTAACGAATTCAACGAGGTATGCCATTCCAAGATCTGCCCATTATTTCCAGGGGTTTTGCTTAAAAAACTGAAAAATCGAGTGGCATTTTTCCGGATTTTGGCCATTAAAAAATATATTAAAGACACATTTTTAAGCGTTTTTTGCAGTAATTTTGCCGAAATAAGAGGTACAGCCAAAAGAATGACTGTTTTGTGCAACTGAGAACCTATACAATCAATTCTAGGTTGATTCGGGAAAATTTATTTTTTGACCGATTTTCGCATTTTTTATAAGGGGTAACACTTGATTTTTTTTGAAATTTGGGCCGAAATAAAATTTTTTTGCTGATAATACCGGTAAATAGGAAATTTTGTAACGAATTCAACGAGGTATGCCATTCCAAGATCTGCCCATTATTTCCAAGGGTTTTGCTTAAAAAACTGAAAAATCGAGTGGCATTTTTTCGGACTTTGGCCATCAACAAAATATATTTAAAACACCTTTTTTTAAGCGTTTTTTGTTGTAATTTTGCCGAAATACGACGCACAGCCAAAAGAATGACTGTTTCGTGCAGCTGAGAACCTATATTATCAATTCTAGGTCGATTTGACAAAATTTATTTTTTGACCGATTTTCGCATTTTTCATAAGGGGTAACACTTGATTTTTTTGAAATTTGGGCCGAAATAAAATTTTTTTGCTGATAATACCGGTAAATGGGAAATTTTGTAACGAATTCAACGAGGAATGCCATTCCAAGATCTGCCCATTATTTCCAATGGTTTTGCTTAAAAAACTGAAAAATCGAGTGGCATTTTTACGGATTTTGGCCATAAAAACATATATTTAAACAGCTTAGAGCCTACAGGTGAGAACTTACTGCTTAAACCTCTCTGTTTATTGCATTGTTAATGGCTGCAAGAAAGTTGTATAATTTTGGGCAGAGGGTGGTTGGTAACGTGGTTGATGGTCGCATTCAAGATAATATTGAGCAAGGCCGTAGCCCTAACACTATAAAAAGTATAAGTACAGATATAGTAAAAGTAAAAGTAGTAAATGTATTTTGCTGTTTGGCCACGATTTAATTCTTAGAAGTAAAAAGTAAAAGTTATTGCCCGCATTCAAAATTTTATTTACATTTTACAATTTCAGAATCAAAAGGTCTTAAAGGGTCTGCTGTTTATAATCTGCAAAGAAGCGCTCTACGCCTACTGGAATTTCAGCCGCGACTTCCGGACGATATTGCTTATCATCATCATAACATCATAACAAAAGAAGGTTGAAATGTTGCTGGTGGCGAGCACCATCTGCGAGCTGATCTTTCAAGGCCACCTACTTCGGAATGATGGTGCAGTTTAACATCACTGAGCAGAAGTGCATTGGCCAGCAAATGTACTAGTACTTCGCCGATTTTCGATATATAATAAATGATTGAGCTTAGGTTAGCTAAAATAAAAGAAAAATTTTCATTAAATTCCTAAACTTGGCAAAAATATGGACGTTTCATTGGGCTTATGGTTTCTAGCTTAAAAAACATAACACTAATGCATACTTTTAGGCATGATAACTTAATGCCGCGTTACGTTTGTTTTCCAGTAAGAGTTGCTATTGCTATGGATTATGATCGCCTAGTATATGAAATCCAGAAATCAAACAATTTGGCAGAGAAAAATGATGTGTGGAAGTCCATTTTGTCGAGCTAATTGGGATATTTTTGATTCTAAGCACCAGGCGAACATGAGCATTAAAAGGTGGCAAAAAAAAATAACTGTTGTTTTTGGTAATCTGTAAGCTAGCTTAAATAAATTCTTAAAACTAAGCAGCTGCTTACTGGGATTTCTGTTCGCCTGGTGTAAAAAAAATGAAATTTGAAATGGTTACGCCTACTAAAATAGCCACGCAGGATCGCAAGCAGCATTCCAATTTTATTGCCTACATTTAAGGGCAGCTGGGCTCTGAGTTTGCGCAACAACCTGCTGGAATTTCTGATAGCCTGTTCTTGAGCTCCAGAAATGCCAAAATGACCGACAAATTGCGAAAAGTGGGACACAACTCAACCCCAAATAAAACAAAGGTTGCTGCAACTTAATGAAAATTTAATAAAATTGATTAAATTTAAAATGTTACTTACGCTTAAGGACCATTTAAGCCATAAAATGCAGATAAGAATATTATAAAATATCTATACTACTCAGCAAAGTCAGCATTTGATTTCGAGCTGGATGGGAGGCATTTCGCTCCGTTTTTTGCAGCTGTCAGCGGTAGTCGAAGTGGCCGACTCCTTTCATACGCTTAACTGCCAAAGTGACATGAACAGGAAGAGAAAATGGTTGAGGGGATGGGGATTTGGAGGTCCTGCGCTTGGCACTAAATTAAAATGTCAGTGTCGTGTTACTTCCGGCGCCAGGGTTGCCCACCAGAGTTGCCAGAGTGCCGGAGTGCTGCACTGCCACTTAAGTCGAATTGCATGCTATAAATTTGGTGCCAATCAACTTAAACATGGCACATTATGCAACGCCTGCAGCTGCAGCTGGTGCTGGTTCTTTGTTATTAATGCTGATGTCTGCAGGTCCCGTTTTTGGGGGAGCTATCCACAGAGAGAAAAGATACAGGTAAAACAATATTTTCTTTTCAAATTACCGAAGCCATTTCGACAACATTACCAATTAAACTAATATCTGCACCAATCCCAGCCAATCAGAACGCAGGGCATTTAATTTAAATTCTTTGTTTTTTGATGTTTTGCTTTATTTTTACCTTTCGTTTTAAAACTGAATAAAAAAATATTATATGTTTTGTTTTTATGTGTGTGACTGCATAAGAGTGTTTGTGTGTATGCATAAATATTTTAGCTAATGTTTTCTTTTCCGTTCTGTGGGGTGGCAATTTGTTGAATTGAATGAAATCAGAAATGCATACAAAATAGTTAACAAAGTGTTTTATTGTTTGAACAGCCCGAAGGCCTACAATTCTGTCTCTACTTTTTCGTTCATGTTTTTATCGCTTGTGTTTTTGTGTGCCACTTCCACTGCTGTCAGTCAAATTGCAAAATATATATTTAAAAATATTTTTGCTAAATAAAAAATCTGCTTTGATTTTTGTTTCTCACTTTTTTGTAGTGTTTGGAAATATATTTTTAATGGATTCCGGTTCGTTTTGCGCTTTTAAATGAAAAATTATGCTTTACTTATTTACAAATAATAAGTAGATGTAAATGTACGTGTATATGTATATATATATATAATGTATATCCGCTTATCTGGTTTAGAGTGTATAATTTATATAATAAAGATTCTCGTTTTCGCTCGCTTGTTTTTACTTTGTTTTGTTCATTCAACGAGATTTGTTTCTTGTTTGTTTAAGGTTTCTTAATTCGTTTTATTCGCTTTATTTTGTGGCATTTGCTCTTAAACACTTGCTTACTAGTTAAATTCATTTCGAAATTCATTAAAATTAACTACAATTTAATTTAAGTTGCCGCTACTGCTTATTTACTTTGCAAGTCAAGTAAATATATACAAATTACATATGTATTTACATTTAAGTCTTAGCTACAAAAAATGTTTTCCTCTCGTTTCTCGATTTGTGTGTGTGCCATTGTCAAAAAGTTGCAAAAACACATTATAGGGGATTAAAAACACAACGCAATGCACAAACAAAACATTTATATATAACTCAATAGGTCTGCGTGGTTAACATAACTTAATTAATCGTTTCTTAATTGGCTTAACGATAATTACAATTAAAATTTTGAATTTCAACACAAAGCTTGAACAAATGGAAAACAGAAATAATGGTTTCGTTAGTTGCTAAATTTTGTAAATTAAATTAAAGTTTTATGATTGGAGGATTTGGATTATTTTTGTTTTTTTTTACCTTACTCTTTTTTCAATTATTTTCAATAATTTTTTAAAGTTTTCTGTACTTTAGTATTTTTTTTGTTTTTTGTCATATAACTTACTTAAAGCAACGTTTTTAGTTTTTCTCAGATTTATTTAAAAATTTAAAATTAATTTAAGGTAAGTTTTGTTTCCTTTTGTTTCGATTTTTTTTAGGTTTTTCTTGATTTTTTGTGGCAGGTCGTACTGTTAATGTATATATATTACTTTTTGTGGATCTGCGCTCGCGAATATTGCACAGAACCAACAAGAATCACTTACGAGTTAATTAGCCTAAGCCTAGGTGAAAAGTGAGATTTTGTTTTCGATCGCCTGCCCTCTGAAATTCCGCCTTACAGTTTAAAGTTCGTTTGTTGCAACTGGGACCTAGATGACCATTAATATTAACTACTACTTAGCTCTATGTTACCTGGTAAATCGTAACATTTAGTGCTCGTCCATTGATGGTTTTAATCCGTGTGTATTTTGGGTTGTATTTCTCTCAGTGTTTCCCTATCTTTTCAGTGAGTGTTGTGACAACAAAGTGCTGAACTAGAGCAATGATAGACCGGAACTCTAATGCCTAGGCTATGGTATATGTTTCGTTGCCAATAAAACTCAACACACGTTCGTCGTATTCCTCAAACTAAGCTTACATCGAAGTAATATATTAAAAGAAGTATTCAAAATGGCCACTTTTCAAAAGATCTGCTGCTGGCAGTCGAGCAGGAAGTAAAAAATGAGAATAAAAAAATGGTTGGTTTGGAGTCGATGATCATGGAATTTAGCTTGTGAGTGTGAGTGGTGTTTAGAGAATAGTTTAAGTGCTGATTTCTCCGATTTTCGAACTAGAATTTCCTAGACAATAATCTCGCGTATGACGCGACGATTTCTGGCATTCGGCGTTGTCGAATATTCACCCTCGAAGCTGTCGTCGTAGCTGAGGGACATGTGCTGCTGCGGCGGCAGGACCTCGTCCTGTTCCAAATGCTCCATGTTGTAGGGATTGGGCAGGCCGCTTACGTCGTGATATGGTGAATCTGAGGGAGGAAAGAGGGAGAATTGTTTAAATTAGTTTACCAAAATAGGCGGAAAAGCAACAAAGTCATGCTCAAACAATTAAAAACAAAATGCTAATCAAAACAAACACTTGGCGAGTGTGTTTTTTGCGTGCTGGGTTCTGCTGTCTGTGCTTGGGCTTGAAAAATCATAGCAAACAAAATTAAGTCCAGGCAACTTAAAAATTCTGCATCATCACAGTAATGGAAATTAGATTTTTTTTTCGATTTTCATATGATGTCCTTGCTGACTTTAACTTACTTCAGCCTGCGCGCTCCGTTAGAGCGTAACATCCTGTATAATGTCCGCTATAGATTTGTTTTTTGAATATAAGTTTTTTGGTTTGTTTTTTTTTGATTTATGAGTGGGCAAGACATGTGTGAGAGTAGTAGATAAAAATAGCCATGTTAGGGATTTATTAATACACGCTGATGCTTAAGGTCTAGCTTAAAATGAACGCACACATTTTATTTTGACTTGAAAACCTGCTATCAAATTGAGTTAACTTATTTACTATACTTTATCGAAGCTTTAAATTGTCAGCTATCTTTCCGGGCACCAAAAAAGCAATTGTTTTAATTTACCAGTTGATTGCCCTTACTAACGACATCTAATTGCAGCACAGATTGCAGCGTTTGTCGCTCCCCCGAAATTGTAAACGAATTAGAGGCATTTGCTGGCCATCGATTTGGGGGGAAGGCTCTCTGTCCCTGGTAAACAGGACATTAATTTATAATCAAAGGACTTGGCTGGTGAAGCGCTTTGGCAAACATCTTTGTCTGCTACAAATTGTTGCATATTTAAGCGCATCCGCAGCTCTTTTGGCCATGCAAATCCGGCAAAGGGTTCAGCACTAACAACCCCCACGCATTCCCACACTTAAGCCCCCCTTTCTGTCTTTTTTTGCTGGCTGCTCTGCTTTGGATTGCTTTGTGTGCCAAATCGTTGGAAAATTTATTGGAATTTGAATTTCAAAATAAGGAAAAAAGAGGAGCGAGAACGAAATCGCCGCGTCGAAATGCTTTTTTGGCCAAATACCAATGTGTGAATGTCTCACTCCCGGCTCTCTTTTTTTGACCTGTTTCTGCACAGGAAAAAACAAGAATTTACCTATTTAACATTTCTGATTTATTATTTTCTGATAAATATTTTAACCCATAATGTTGAGAAATAATAATTTGTAAATTGCAACACTCTCAAATTCACTGCAGGGCTATTTGAAAGACAGTATATATAATATTATTTATTGTACGTGTTAAGGGTTTGGAATCTTCCAAAAAAGATCATCACCGCATTGAACTAAATTAATGTCGCTACTGCCAATTTTATTTAGCATCTGGTCAATTTTGTTAAATTCGTTATTTAAAACTTACTTACTTCCATAAGCAAGCTTAGGCTTTTTCTCGCTGTGCATCCGAATGTAAAACGTAAATCCCTTCTAACAACTGCTCTTTAACATATTCCGTCTCGTACGACTGGCTTTTCCCCAACAAACCGCACCCCGTTTTCCCCGGCTTCTTGGTCGTGTGAAAATTCCTAAGCGCGTTTGTCGCCATCGCCCCATCGCCTAGGATTTTTTTCCACTCCACTTTGGCATCTGCATAAACTTGACCCAAAAAGTGAAAGGGAAAGGGGGAAGCCAGCTAGAGAATCCTTTTTCCCAACTATTTCCTTGCGTAGATTTTCAACTGTTCGAAGATTTGGCTCCTGTTCCTGGGTTCTCATCTCCTGTCCGCATTTTATGGCCAATACGTGAGCTGTGGATATTATGCGCATAACTTTATTGTGCCACGCCCACGTTACCCAAACGCCCCCTTTGGCTAGTGGTTTTTCCTGCTGTTTTTCAATTTCCATTCAGTCTCTCTCTCTCTCTCTCTCAACAACTTAATCGTTTCTGCGTTAAGCATACGCACTGTTGCCTTTTTTGCCCAGCTGTCTTTGCATGCAAATTCTCACATGTGAGCGTGAGTGTGCGCTTGTGTTGTTTCTAGAGTCTTTTGGCCAAGTTTTTTGCCATGCTAAGCTCGTAATAACCCATTCTTTTTTAGTAAATTTTTCAGAAACGTCGAAAGTAAACAAATTGCAGATGAGTTTATCCCACCGACACACAAACAAACTGGCCGGCAACACTTTCTCATACATAGAACAAGGGGTTAAAACGCTTATCATTTGTTGCCTTTTGGCCAGTGGCTTTCTCCTGTCTTCCCCCCGATTCTTCTGGGCCCCTCAGCCCCTCACCCCCTTATCCCCTCCTCACATCTAACAAATCCACTTAGTGTGTGTTTAGTGCTGTGGAGTGTGTTTCGCCTCCTGCTGTTCATGTTGTCTGCCCTTCTTTTTTCCCTTTTGTTGCTAAAATCCTGACTCATGTGATTTATGTGATTCCCTTTTCCCACATCCTTGCAACTATTTGGAAGCCATCCAGAAGAAAGGAGAAAGCGCAAAAGCGAGGCCAGGACAAGATTCGTATGGCACTTTGAATAAGTTTTCCTGGCATTTATTGCTCAGCCCAAAAGCAAACTGCATTATGAGCTTTTCAGCGAGGAGATAAGAAGGCAAAAGGAGGCTTCGAAATGGCGAAAACAGATTTGTTCGGTCTTAAATCATCAGATAGTTGGCAAAGAAAAATCTATGATAAATAAGGGGTATTTTGGGGATTATATGTTTCTGATTTTGATATTGAATCGATTATTATTTCATTTGCCGTTCCACAGTTCCGCTTTCTTCATTTCAAAAGATGAAGAAACGAGTATTATTAGTATACTATTATAAAAAAAATGTTAGTTATTAACCAGAATTAGCCTTTACTTATCCTTAACCCTGTGTATACTCTTCCCCCAATTACATTAGTCCAAAAAATAAGTCAAATACATGTAATGTGAGCGAATGTTCCGATATTAATCAAAATCGTTTATGTATATTCATGAAGTAGCAATTTGAATAATCTGCTAAAAGCTCGGGATAATCTTTGTCTTGTTCCTCATCTTGTGGTTGGCTTTCTCTCCTCCTTGCCCTAATGATGAATTAAAGCCATTTCCTGTGGGTCCCAGTTACTGTGTGTGCGAGTCTGTTTGACAAAAGACCAAACAAAGGCGCTCAACCAACTGACACAAAAGTCTGCATAATCAATCAGTCAGTTGGTGTGTGTGTGTGTTCGTCGGTCCCCCAAAAATTTCCCTCTCCTTTCTGTTCATATATGCCCCAATCTTTATTCTGTTCAGCCTTCTTTGCATGTTAACAGATGAGCAAAAAATTTGCTTACGCAGCTTTTTGGCGCCTGCCGCAGACTTCCTTCCGGCCATGGCCAGCACCTCCCTCCCCTCTCCCCTTTCCTTGCCACATGCATTTTCTGATCACTCACTTACACAGGAGAAAATGATTGCAACTAAATTAAAGTTTGCTAAGCTCTCTAAACAAATAAAACAGATAATATCTCCCTGAAAAGACTACTTCATTTACTTGCGGTGAACATATGTATTTAATTAGTGTTTGTCAAAATCCCTGGATATTAATACATTTTAGCAAACAAACTTATGGTTTGTAGAGGAACTAGGTATATTATGTCACAGAAATAATTTGATATAGTGGCATACATTTTCAGAAGCCCCGTTTATATTGATTTTCAAATGCCTAGAGATTAAATAAAGCTATAAAACATTTACTTGCTAAATAGTTAAACTTCTGAAACATGATTTTAGTTTTAAATGAAAATTCTAGATATATTTAAGAAACATATAACATCTTTCTCAGTGCACTGACTGCATTTTGCATGGCACAAAAGTCAGCCGGGGTTTTGGATGCCGGAGGAAGGGAAAGCGGGTCGTAGAATGAGCGATGAGGGGTCTCAAATGTGAGTTTGGCAAGTGTAAAAGCTTTTAAACATACAAACGCAGACAGACCCACACACACACACACTCTTTGGAACACACACATACTGGGAGACATTCAGTTGCATTTGCAAGCTGTGCATAAGCTGACATCAATGTAATGAAGATGTATTTGCATATTGTAGCACTGTCAATCTGCTAGCTGCCTCACTCTTCCCTCGCTCTTAACCCTCCTTGTGCTCGTCGTCCTCTTAGCCCCCTACATTAACCCTCTTCAGAGGCATTTCCCCTTTATGTTTGCTTTGCTTTTGATGGCTCTCATGGGTGATCCACCTCCTATTCTGGTTGCTTGTATCTTGCTTCTGGTATTTTCCGCTTCTTCGATAGTGCTGTTGCATTTTATTGACATGCACGAATAGTTTCTTCTGTGTACTTATTTCTTTTTGTACTTTTTGTTTTATTGTTTCTCTGCGTTATGCATTTTTTGGCCAAAAAAACATCACTTTTCCCTTTGTGAACTTGCGTTTTTTCGTGTTTGTGCCTTGCGTTTAACCTCAGTAAACAAAAAATGAATAAAGGACATAGAGAGGAGCCTCCAGTGCTTTTTTCGACCTTCTTTTTTATTGCATTTTATGCGCAAAGAGTGAGTGAAAGGAGAGCGAGGAAAAAGACTAACAATATTCAACAGCAACCACAACAACAATAATAACGTTCTGCGAGTCCTGGGCAATAAAAACCCCCAAGAACAACAAGAAGCTGCTACCAAAAATGTATTTTTTTCGGGCTTTGGTGCTCATAAAGCGTAAAGATAACACACAAACACACCGCTCATAGTTCTGGCCAACACACATACCCACACCCACACACACGCTCAAGCACAACAAAAAGAGGGGGATATTACGCATACGACCCGCTGGCGCTTTACAGTCACCACTGCTGCTGATCCAACTCAAAACTCTCACTGTGGCTGTTCATCTTGGGTTTTCATTCGGTTCGGCTCGGTTCGGTTCGCTTTTTATTATTTAATATTTTAAAACACTTGCGGTGTTATTGGCATCACAATAACAACAACAAAAACAATATGAAATGTAACGCACTGCAATGGTGAATTTTAGAATACTCTGTACTAAATATTAGTGTACCAGCTAGAATACTGACTATTGGTAAGTCACTTTTTTTCATAGGGAGTGACTAAATTATTGAGGGTTAAATGTCAAATGGTTGGGAATGTCATTACTACTTGAACGAAATATAACATTCCATATTTGTTAAATGAAAATAAACTATATTGAAGTAAGGCGCATAGTTAAAATTCCTTTTTTACTAAATCTGAACTACTAAAGTATGCTTTTTCAAAAAGTAAGTAACTTTTTCATAGAGTATACAAATAATAAAACACACATAACAACATGGACCATGCGGCAGAAATGGATTCCGCAAAAATTCAAGCACACACAGGGCAGACACACTCGCACACTCGCACACCCATAGACAATTCCAAAAAACAAGCTGTGGGAGCCAAAGGGCAGCCCCGCCCCCCGAACATCCTGCCGCCCACTTGGTCCTGGTTGATTTTGCTGCTTTTGCTGCGGTTTGTGTTTTGTGCTCGGGTGAACTTAAAGCAAACTCGGCAAAGACTTTAAGCCAAGTCCAAATGTTCGAACAGCATATTGCCGAATATTATTTATTTGCAACATGTCCCGCCCCCTGACCTTTCATAATTAGCATGGAAAAGGACGCAAAACATTTTAGACTGCCAGTGCTTAACTTGTCATAACTGAAAGCGAGCCAAAGCCCAAAATGCCAACAGAAATGTTTGCCCAACGGTTTTTTCCCTCTCACTTTCTTCGGCCCACACTTTTTGACATAGGCCAAAAACTTACAGGATCTGGAAGCCAGGACCTTACTCTTTTCCTAGGACTGCCTGAAATGCTAGCAGCTTAATGTGTCAGAAAATAGAAACTTCGGGTCGTTGGTTGGTTTCTGGGCTCGGGAAAGTTTATCAATCAAAATGGGGAAAAGTTGCTCCAACAAATCTGTTCGCAATCTATGTGTAATTTTCTGCAGTTTGCTTTGCTCTCATTATTTCATCGGAATTTATTCACTTCTTGTTCACTTAGTTTTGATGAATGAGTGAAATGTCTAATAATAAGTTTCGTTATCCCTGTTTATCTTCGAAAGTATTTACATTTCAAGTCTTTAGCCAGAAAAACATGCTCATGTGGACTTTTAATCTGATTTCTTGACATTCACATACCCACTGTTCTTGTACTTTAATCAATAACTACACTTCTATCACTGACAATTCGATATATTTTGATTCTTTAACGCAAAATAAACAATTTCATTTGCTATTTCAGATAATTCACATCACTCACCTAAATGCTGATCGACTCGCTTCTTGGGCTTCTGCACGGATGCGTAGGGATCGCTGCAGTAGTCCTGCCGGGACGGATTTTGGCTATTGCGCAAGTTGTGGTACTCATCGCCCACTTGGCTGGGCGTGGCCGTCAGGTGGGGATAGGGGGCGTAGTCATCCACCGCCCCGTAGCCTCCGTGGGTCAACGGATCGTATCCATAGGCGGGCTGCTGCTCCACATACTGATTTAAGGGGGCCTGCACCAAGCCCTGCTGGTTGCCCACCGCCGCAGCCGACATCTTTACCTGCCACAGGGAGTCCTGCGAGTTGACACTGCCGCCGTTGTTCGAATTGGAGTAGTTGTTCTCCATGTAGCCCATGTTGACCCCTGGAAATAAGCGGAAAAAATGTAAATGATAAATGAATACGTTTCGAACAAGAACTGGTGGCATAAATTCATGAGAGAACTGCATTTCACAGAAAAGGTTATAAAAAAAACATGAAAGGTTACCATAAAGTGTATTAAGAAATAAAAGTTTCAAAAAAATTAAATAAAACGAACAGTGAGAGCACCAAAGAACTCAACTCAGATTCCTAATTAATTTAATATATGATAAAAATCTAAAGAATGTATTAACACCATATTTATACCCAAATATTTTTAAAATTTTAATATTTAATTTTTTTATTCAGAAATTTTTAAAATTTAATTGTATTCTATTTCTATTTTCTAGAATTGATAATTTTCCATTGAGAACCTATTAGTTTAACCTCCATTGTACACATGTAAAACATTGACTATTTGGCTTTTGGCCAAGTAAAACTTTTGCTCGTTGGCAGTAAAATAAAATTTAATTAAAATTAAGCAAAAGTTTGGTCCCCAAAACAAAGTTGAAGTTCTCTTGTAGGGCAACTTTTGGTCTGGATTTTTATTGATTAACACATAAAAATGACAGAGGCATAAAATTTATTAACTTCGACTTGCAGACAAGGCGTAATTAATAGTTCATCACATTGCGCATACGCCGCGTGCGCCACTTAAAATCTATCCGAGCGTCATAAACCCTCAAAGAGCACCAAATTTCCCCACCTTTCAGCCTCTAGCTTGACAAATTTTTATGGGGTAACCGGGTGGAGGAGCCTTTGTCCTTCGACGAGGAGCAGCTGGTGTTCCCATTTTCCCACTCCTGCCAACTGACTTTTCCATTTTCATTCATTGTTCCCTATGCTTGCTGGTGCGTGCTTGCTGCCTGGGCGCATTTATTATTATTTTTATATCGTGATAAATCACTCATAAATATTAAACGCACGCTTGCCGACAAACAAAAACTTTTTGAATTTTGAGGTGGATGCGGAAAGAGTGTTCCCAAAAGAATATAATCTTCGGAATTTTAGGGGATTTGTCACAGTTAAAAGGATTTGCAAAGGCTTTTTATTTCACTCAAAATTTAAGCTAAGGGTATCAGTGTCTCACTTTATTATTCTATCAATAGCTTGCAAGAATCGGAACTCACTTGATTTTACTTATTTTGTTATTAATTCATTTACTATATTGGCATTAAAATATTCTCTCCTCCTTTCTTCTCACGGTGCATTTCTTTATGACTATGCATAGCTATGTGTGCAGTCACGCATCAAAAAGTATGCAATAAAAATGTTTGATTTCAGTGATTTTTCACAGATTGAGTGCCATATTTTTGAGGGTCTAAAATAGCTAGTGATTCGGGAAATGGTCCTATATTCCCCTTCTAGGTCCTGACGTGTTGCGTGAGCTTTTTTGGCGACCGTTTTTATGGCAAGTTTGCGCTCTTTTCGCGTGTCCTCAGCTGGAACAAAGACTCGGGTTTAGGGCCCCGATTTTATGCCTCGTTTTGGTGGGCGTGATAATTTTTATGATTAGCCATAAAACTAAAACAGTAATAATATTAACTTCATTTACATTTCATGCGGCCAACTTTCTTTGCTCTTTATTTGCTCAGCCAATTTGCATATTTGCTTGAGTAATTTTATGCCGCAACATTCTGCCTATATACATTTTCCAATTGCAATCAGGGAGGGGAAAAGAAACAAGGACCGAAACTTTTCAATTTGATAGCCATCAAATCTTTTGTCGGCGGCAACTTTTGATTGCTCAAGTTTGCCAAAAATATTTGACCGAAATAACAAAATCTCCCTGCCTCGCTGATGAAAATTTTAATGCATTTCCATTGTCTGGAGGGAAACATTTTGCATACTCCCTACTTTTCTTTTTTTTGTATTTTTTTAGCAATTAAAGTTTGTCAAAGTTTTGTGCATTGATTTGAGCAAATAACAACAACAGTTGCGGCATAGTTCTGGCCCAGTCACGCCTCCATTTTCCCCAGTTTTCCGTTCCCCAACAGCTTATTATTAAACCCTCACTCCACTTGGAAAATCTTTTCATGTAAAAGTGCTTGGCTGGTGGAAAGTTTTCCCTCTAATTCACTCGACAAACTTTTCAACCGGAAGCGCTTACAATTATGCAACATTTTTGTGCAGCAGCAGCAACAGCAGCAGCAGACGCACAATAAAAACAGTTTCAAATGCCATTAACGGTTAACTAAATAGCAGGCCGTGGCTCCGGCACCAAAGGGTTAAGAATGGGGGCCAACTTGTGCCGTTTGCCGCCAGTTACTCGGCTTCCCCAACTAAACCCATCCCAACTCCACTCAACTCAACTCATTCGAACTGAACTCAAGCCTAGGTTTTCAGGGTGTTCGGGGTGTTAATGCCACCATTTCGCTCCTTATCTAGGTTTCCTATTTTACACAGAGGAAAACAATAATTTAAGAGGGAATAGGAAAATAATATAAATAATAGCAAAATGCATTAGGTCAATAACTTTAAGGTCACTAATTAATATTATTTACTCTCTTGCAATTTCTACAAACAACTGATTATATCTATTGTATTCCTTACTTTTCCTAAGGTATTTTGTTGGTCTTTAAGTATTTGTTTTTTTTTTAATCTATAATAATAGATATTTTAACTTTATTGTTTAGGTCTTAAACCTCCTATAGAAATTTCTCTTACTTAATTCTTCAACTAGTTTGAAAGAATGACATTATTTAAAATTCTTTTAATTAAGTTTACACTTCCAGGTACAAGATGTTAGTTTGCAACTTCTTGGAAATACCGTGAATGCAAATCTGTGGAACATATTTGGGGAACTTTTATTCTTATTTTTCTAACCATGTAGCTACGATTTTCCCTTTCCCCGGATGACCTTTTCCTTGTTGCACTTTTAATTAGCGACGCGACTCGGAGACCCCGAGAGTCGAGAGTCGGAGGCTGCTTGGCATTTGCCCTAAATGCGCTTAAATGTAGCAGGCACAACAAGGGCCGTATTTTGCAGGAAAAGGTCGAAGGGAAAAGCGGGAAAATGGTGGAAAAGGGGGACGCACTAGTGCCGAGTTCCTGCACTTGCCGTGTTGCACTTTTCCGCCGCTCCATCCGCTTTTCCTGCCAGCTTCTTTTGTGCGCCCAAGTTGGCCAAAAAGTTTGGCTCGCTGCAACAGCTTCAGTTTCTGAGATTTTTTTTGGGGGTAATGAATGAAAAGCTTGTGGGGGCGTGGTAGTAAAAGTGAAGTAACTTTGTTAGCGAAACTCTCCCCGGAATTCTCCTTGTTGTTCTTGATCAGCTGGGCATGACAGAATTTTTAGCCCCAAGAAAGTGAAGTCAGGTCAAGGGTATTGATGGCCTTTAGTAATAACTTAAAGCCTTCGCCTGCAAAATTCACCGGCGATTCGCCATATTCCCCAGATGTTGCTGCATTTAAGCCAATTAGTTTGGGCCGCTGCAAAAAACAAAAGCCAGCAAATTGGAACTCATAGATGGTGTCTTCAAAATGTGGTTTGTGTGCGGTAGGGCTTTGGTTTGTTTTGGTTTTGGTTTAGTTTGGGTCAGTTGGTTGGCCACTCAGTCAGCTGTGCCAAGGCTGTCGATGACCCCCCTTGAACCCATGGTGTTAACCCCTCACTTACAACTGAATACAAGACAAACATGTTCGAGGGGCAATCACTGCAAAAAAGGGATGAGAGGAACAAAGAGCACCGAAATGGTGGACTACATTTATTCAGAGGCAGGCATACACTCAAAGAAATATATTTGTTAGGCCTTAAAAATGGTTAAAAAGCTTACAAATTTAGAAGAGCCTTAAATTTAAAGTGCCCCAAAGTGAAATTTGTATAAAATTTTCTTTACATTAATAGGACTAAGAATTAGTTTTAATTTTTTTAGTTATTATTTAAAAATCAACGTAATTATTTTTATATGGTATCAGTGATTTTTAGTCAATTTTGATTAGTTTTTGAGTTTTTAAAAATATTTAGAACATTTTAATTTATTTTTCCTTCTTCTTTTTTAAATATTCTTGTACCAACCCACTTTTGGGCTCCGTTTTTGTGCCACGCGCAAAACTATTTTGCGGCTATTTGCTTTGCGGGGATGCATTTTAAGCCCAGAACCGAGCTGAACTGAGCAGAATGGAACACAGTACCCTCGGAATCGCATTGAAAGCACCCTCGACCAGAGGAATCCCAACCAAACCAAACCGAACTAAACCAAACCCAACTAAAACATGGCAGACATTTGTTGGCCCGTCGCGCCGGTTCATGGCTTTATTTATTTAGCGCATAAATTTACCGAGCGCGAGATTCCTTCTGTTCTTTTTTTTTTCATCCCCCCAGCTATTTTTTCTATATTTTTGTTTTTCCATCTCTGTTTTCGATGGTTGGTTGCCTCTTCTGTGTGTGCGACGACATTTGTTTGCATTTATTTGGTTTTCCAAATTGCAGCTGCTTGTTTTGCCCTGCATTTATTTGCGGGAACATGTCCTAGCCGTCGTCTAGCCGGGGGCGTATTCTATATATTCCAAATACCCCAGACCATGACTTTTGGTCCCTAATCAGGAGTGTGCAAGAAACTTTTGAACAAGTCCAAGCGGAATAACTTTAAGATTTATGCTGCTCTGCTATTCAGTAGTGTTTAACAAATTTTTTGATTCAGAGAACTTCCATTTTTTCAGCTATATACATTCCCGTTTTAAAATCCTGCTTAGTTTTAATTTAAATTTTGAAGCCTTTCCCAACCAAAAGACGACTCCTTTCGCCACTCGTTTTAGTGGCTGCACTTTCGCTCCTCGCTTGATTGTTTTTATTGTCGTCGCCGGTTTACATGCAAAGTTCATTAGGTTTTTGGCCTAGGTCGAAAGCAATTGTGGCTATGGGGAAAAGGAGAGAAGGGGAAACTGAGGGGGTGGCATGCCAAAGGACCTGAATTGGGTAGCCGTTAACGAGCCCGAAAAGTGCAGGCAACTACAGAAACGAAGAGCCAGAACTCTCAGTCGCAGGCAATGTGGAAAATGAAGGGGTTTTTACACAGAACAAATATTGAGAGATCTTTACATAAAATACTGGTTTATAATATGTTTAAGTTATTACAAATTTATTATTAGTTATGGTTAAGTATTAAATTATAGCCTTTGAAAGCTAATCATTTCATTTCGATTAAGGAGAATGGAAGGCAAAGTGGAAAAGTGTTAAATACCTATGATTCGTAATAATTTGTCCATCAAAAAGATACGAACAATAAATATATCTTTTTAACCTGTGTATATTAAAATGATATTAAGCAATTCGATATAAAAACCGTCTTTTATGGGGTATTTGCTCAGTGCAAAACAAGTCGGGAGTTCGGGTCTTTGGTAGAGCATCTGCCAAAGGACACTTTGCTTGGGTGCCGTGTGTTTCGGCTCTTCGCCTGTGGCTGCTCTGCTCCTTAAGCGGCAATTAGCGCTCACAATGCAACGGAGAAGGGACATGAAAATGGGGAAAATGGGGAGTTTCCCTACACTCTGCTTCCTTTTTCGTTTCGTGCACTTGCAACCCTTTATTATTCATGCCACTTTCACTTGGCAAATTAGCTGTTACTGCAACTCCTTCTTTTCCTTCTCCCACAATCGTTTTTAAATGCAATTAAGTGGCAACTCCCCTCTTAACCCCTTAATGCCCCGTGAGTCCGTGGCAGACTAAGCGCCTTAAAATTTTAATTGGCCTTCGAAAACAATTGAAACACGAAATTGGCAAAGCAAATTGCTGCCATTTAGAGGCTTAACGTATTAAAAAGTAAATTAAATTTTACAACGTCCAGTTATAGGAATCTTTTTTCCTATCTTTGTGGTTGGAAAAGGCATTTTTAATTTGCACATCATTACCAAATGCCAAACGTTTTTTTTTCCTCTCTTAGCATGTGAAAGGATACAGTCTTTGAAAAGAAGTAGATGTGTATGTGTGAGTAGAAAACAAAAATAAACGAAAACCCAGTACAATTAATAATGAATTGTGTAAAGCCGCGATGGGGAAAACCAGGGAGGTTTTTCAAACAGAAAGCTTCCGTCCAGTTCAAACAGAGAACAAGAGTCATGGTGAAAAGGAACAGGGGGATTCCCCCACTTGAAGGGACGCCAGAAAAATGGGAGGACAAGTGGGCGGAAAGGACGTCACGATGAATGGACGACAGCAACAATTGCAAAATGGAAAGTGTATTACAAAATGCTACAGACCAACAACAAACAGCAAGCGAAAAAAACAGCAGCAAATGTTGGAACGTTTAGAAAAAATTGCTGTTTCAACAAATTTACAACGGATGTGGAAAGTGCTTTTCCCCCAGTTTTCCAGGTGCGTAGAAGGGGGGTGTCAGAACACAAACCGCGCGCTTGATGAATGCTCTCGCCGCCATCGATTTGCACTCAACTCCATTTTGCACTTTTCCCATTTTCAGGGGCAGCATAATTTGAAAAAAAAAACCACCAGTAAAAACCCCCCTTTGGATACCACTTCGCCACACATATTTTCCTTTAAAACGTCAGCACGGATTTCATTTTGGGCGGAAGTGTACGTATTTGTGTGGACAATGAAAAATCACCGCAACCCAAACAAAGGTGAGCACCCCGAAAACCTCTGGATAAAAAAGGGACCGTAAGGACATGTCCCAACCGGAAGTATTTCTCACTTTGGTTTTCGATCTTTTAGTTTTCTCTTTAACGCCTTTAAGTGGGCAACACTTAAAGTTGCAAAAAGGTTATGAAATGTTTGCAGAAGTTTAAATATATCATGTGAGCCTATAGAGATACATAAGAAATATTTAATGTGCCACTAATTTTAAATTATATTTTCAAAAGAGGATCTATTTTAATGTTAATTTGTCTTTCGAAAATATTTTTAAAAATAAAACATTAATTATACCCCTAGAAAAATTTAAGATTTATAGGATCGAAAATGAAGTAAAGGTTTTCTTTGAACCACCGATCTGATTTGGATAGTATAAAGCTATTCTATCGTTTCAAATTGAAATATATGTGTATTTATTTTTCTAGTACTCACATTCATTTCCTGGCATAGTGTGTGCGTTGAGACCTGGTATTCCATTGACACCGACGCCTCCGCCTCCCATTCCGCCAACGCCCACCACTCCGCCCATTCCGCTGACCACGCTGCCGCCCACACCCACGCCCACCACGCCGCCCCCAAGGCCAACGCCCACCACCCCACTTCCCGGGTGATAGCTGTATCCATTTTGGGTGGCATATAGCGCCGTCTTCTGATCCTCCATGCTCAACGCCAGATCCATCGAGTGTTCCAGGGCCTTGTTGTCCAGTCCGGAGGCGGGGTAGTAAGGGGGCGGGGCCTGGTTCTGCTGGGCAGCCACAATCGAAGGTCGCACCGAGTCCATCTCGTAATCCTTCGCAGCTGCGCTCTTCTTCGACTGATTCCGCTTGCAGCGACAGAACATCAGGATTAGGCCGGCGAAGAGGGCAAAGACCACGCAGGACACAATTATCGCGATCAGAGTGGGCGTGGCCAGGGCATTAGCCTCCGCTATATACGGTCTGCCAACTATCGGAAAAGAGAGAGAAAGAGATGAGGAGTTAGGGATGGAAAACAAGGTACGATATAACATAAAACATACATTTAATACCAATTGTTAAACTAAATTTATCATATTTATTTTCCTTAAAAAAAAACACTTCTGAGCTAAATTATCAAAAATTCCATTTAAGAAGGTAATTATTATTAAATGAAAGTTGTCTTCGCGACTTTTCAATCCTGAATCTTAATTTCATTCTTTTTTTTGACTCTGTAGCCGAGAACGAGACGAAATGAAGCCATGAAAAATGCATCGCAAGGAGTTGAAGTGGATGGATGAATGGTTGAAGGGATGGTTGGATGGATGGATGGATGGATGGATGGTTGGTTGGTTGGAGGATGGTTGGATAGATGGTTCTCAGTTTGAAAGATGGGTGGCAGGGAGGGAGGAGACCACTGGCGGGATGAGTGATTGATTGTCCGCCGGCTGCCGGTCATTCAAGTGGTGCAATTGCTCGTAATGGCTTTGCATATAATGGAAATCATCAGCATTGGCAAAAGTTGCCAGCCAGGCAATCTTCGCTATTTTCCCTCACAATACACCATACATCTTCCATCCACTTCCCCTGCGTGTTATTTAATTTAAGAATCTGGCAAATGTTACTGTGGCGATTCGAGTGGTTAAAAATATATTTCTGTAGTTTATAAGACACTTAGGATCTATTTGAAAGATTATTATACCCTTGCAGAGGGTATTATAATTTTGGTCAAAAGTGTGCAACGCAGTGAAGGAGACATCTCCGACCCTATAAAGTATATATATTCTTGATCAGGATCACCTCCTGAGTTGATATAGCCATGTCCGTCTGTCCGTCTGTCCGTCTGTCCGTCTGTCCGTCTGTCCGTCTGTCCGTCTGTCTGTCCGTCTGTCTGTTTCTACGCGAACTAGTCTCTCAGTTTTAAAGATATCGAATTGAAACTTTGCACACACCCTTCTTTCCTTTGCACGCAGTATATAAGTCGGAACGGACGGGATCGGCCGACTATATCCTATAGCTGCCATATAACTGATTGATCGGAAATGCCATAACTCTGCTGTTTGTTAAGTTAGGAAGTTGGGACTCTCTATGGGTATTATATTTGGCCAATCAATCCGACGTACCAAATTTCATAAGGATCGGCCGACTATATCCTATAGCTGCTATATAACTGATTGATCGGAAATGCCATAACTTTGGTGTTTGTTAAGTTAGGAAGTTGGGATTTTCTATGGGTTATATATTTGGCCAATTAATCCGACCTACCAAATTTCATAAGGATCGGACGACTATATCTTATAGCTGCCATATAACTGATTGATCGGAAATGCCATAACGTTGGTGTTTTTAAAGTTAGGAAGTTGGGATTTTCTATGGGTTTTATTTTTGCCCAATCAATCCGACATATCAAATTTCATAAGGATCGGCCGACTATATTCTATAGCTGCCATATACATAACTGAACGATTGGAAATGCCATAACTTTGGTGTTTTTAAAGTTAGGAAGTTGGGATTTTTTATGAGTATTAAAAATGCATCATATGAATAATTTTGGAGAATATAATTTGCAGAATATTCTGCAAGGGTATTTCAACTTCGGCTCCGCCCGAAGTTAGCTTTCCTTTCTTGTTTTCATTTTACTTAGTTTATTTTGCTAATTATAGGGTATTTAAATACTGCATCCCATAAATTAAATAAATTACTTACTTTCTGCATCCGTGTAATCGCCACAGTGCTCTGGATTGGTTCTCAGGCACAACTTGACCCGCACAGTGGGACTATTGTCATCCTCGAGGGCCAATGAGTTCAGCCCATTGTCATCCTCGTCCTCGCTGATGGTGTGACCCAAAGCACGTCCTCCTCCGATTCTGCGGGCTCCGATTATCCGGTCGATGACCTTCTCCTTGTGGGTGGGTCCGTTTCCGGACAGCTGGAGGTTGTCCAGAGTGGCCACCACTTCCCAGGCTGCCATTGGGGTGTCTCCATTGACCATTGACTCCACCACTGCCACCAAGGACAGGCAAGTGGCTCCCACATCGATGCCCAGAGTTCGGGAACTGGGTTCATAGGTCACCTGCAAAGGTGGCGGAATCCTGCTGACCTTTGTCGTGACCAGAATTTCACTCGAGTAGGGGGAATTACTCTTGGGATTCAGCGCCTTGACCTTGAAGGCATAACTCTGATGCTGTTCAAGGGACGTTACTTTGCAGGGAATATCCCGCTGGCAATCCACTTCCACCCACTCCGAATTCGAGTTGGCCAATGTGGCACAGTCTGGTATCAACTGTTCTTCCCTCGGCATTGCCACACGGCGATAGCTCACAAAGAATTTGGTCTTGCTCAAGCCACCATCGAATCCGGGATCCCAGCTCAGCGACACGTAGTTGTGGCCCACATCGGTGGCCCTCAGGTTTGTGGGCTTCTCCGGCGGTCCCTTCTGCTGCAATCTAATGGGGGCTCGAATCGTATCCAATGTGTTGGCCACGCGGCAGGTGTACTCCCCATAATCCGAGTGCGTCAGCGAGTTGATCTTCAGCACAGAGGTGTAGATGTCATTGTTATCGGTGGTGGTACTAATCTCGTAATGACCATCCGAAGACATGGTCAAGGGCGAGGGGTTGTTGCCAAACTGCCATTGGAACTCGGGCTTGGGATAGGCCTGAACTTTGCAAACAACCTCGGCTGTCTCCCTGATGTCAAAGGCCACCTTATTGTACTGATGCAGGACAATGGGTTCGTGCTCTATCCTCAGTTGCATCGAAGAGTTGGCCGAGTTCACTTCGTTTTGGTACAGACAGGTGTACAGACCACGATCTCCGGGCACCAGAGCATTGCCATTTGGCCTGGCCTTGCCCCTGAACTTCAGTTGACTCTGCACGGTGACCATTCCGTTAAGGCCCTGATCGGGATTCGTTTGCACTTCGTATAGATTTTCCTCGGGCAGGATTTCCATAGCATCCTTGAGCCACTTAACACTGGGTGCTGGTTTGCCCTTGGCACTGCAGGTGACCGTATAATCCGTATCGGCCACTCTCCTCGTCATGTGCTGCTGCAGCTTAGCCAGGAATTGCGGGGGCTGATGGATCTCCAAGTCGATGGTGGCCATCATGCCGATTCCCAGCTCATTCACCGCATGACAATGGTACTTTCCCTCGTTGCCCAAATGAGCTTTGGGTATGGAGTACTGGGGGCCTTGGGCGAGGATTTTCTGCGTGCTGGAGAACTCCCCATCCATATCCCGGAACCATCTGTACTGAGGTACTGGCCACCCTGGCGGATTGGCGGAGCAGGTCAGGGTAACACCGTTGCCCACATGAACCACTGGCTTATTGGGCGTTATATAGGCCTGTCCCGGTCGGTGACGAACTAGCAGGGCAACCGTGGTGTTTCCCACTCGCTCACTGCGCTCCATCCCCTGGCTCTGCATTATGTTGACAGCTCGGCAGATATAGGTTCCGGCATGATCGGCTCGCACTGAGGTCAGGGTTAGTACTTCGCCATTGTAGCGAAAGTCGGGACTCTTCTCCTTCAGCCATTCGATGGTCACTGGAGCAGGATTGGCCGTCACATTGCAGCGAATCGTCACAGTATCGCCCTCCTCGGCCTCCCGGGTCTTGGACTCTATGACCACCATCGGGGGATATAGGATATCCAGTATCAGCTCCTGTTCCCCGGTCTTACCAAGTCCATTATCCGCAATGCAGGTGTACTTGCCAGCATCTTGAACGCTCACTCGATGGATCGTGTGAACTAATGAGGAGCTGATGAACCGCCCATTGCGATTCCAACGGACATTGGGAACCTTCGGCTTCGCATCCACGTTACACTCCAACTTGGCAGTCCGGTCACGTTCCACCCGCAAAGGATTGTCGGGTCCAACCTCGACTCTGGGGTAATCTGGATGGGGAAAAAAAAGGAAAAGCAGCGAAAATTAGTCAAGTCACACAGTACACAGGCAAAATCCAAATCAAAGCAAGTCGCTGGATGAAAATTAATAAACACGCAGCATTTTTGGCATAATCAGGCGGCATAATCCAAACTTCTAATTGAATTAATCAGGGAAAACGAGAGCAGGAGCTCTAGTCATGATTAGTCTGCTGATTAGACACGAAATTTGTCAATTATTAATTTAACTAATGAAGTGTCTGAAGGTCGGCCAATGCCAACAAGCCTGACAGAGCGTCATTAGCAGAGTTAAGGAGGTATATTGAAATAATTTGCTGTTAAAAGAAGTGATAACCAAGTTAGGAGTCATCTTCAGAGTTTGGTAGATATTTTGGGAAATCAAAGTAATTCAAAGAATAAACTTAAAAATTAACAAATGTTTCTGTTTGTTTTATGGGAGTAAAATTAAAGTAAATAAGTATACTTTAACTGCCTAAATTATCCTAAGAACCGTCATCTCATGCTATCTCTAAACTATTTCCATATCATCTTCTTTTGTTTTATGGCATCCCCCTACATAAAACCTCTCAACGGAAAGAATTTAACTCTTCTGCAGGTAATTTCCTTTCCCATTTTTCCAGCTCCCTCGGAAAACTCCGCCCCTGCACTTGAAGGAATCCATCCACGAGCTTGAGTCTTGGAGGAGCTGACTGCAAGTCATGGTCCAGCATTAGCGACCTCTTATGCACCGCAAATGGCGTGAAATTATGTCTGAACCACCGCAACCACTTTGTAATTAACTGCCCCCTGGATAAGTGTCGCCAGCTGCCTAATGACTCTGCCCATAAACCCGCACTCCGCACTCCGCACCATTGACAGTCGGCAAAAAGTGGAGGCAGTCTGGAGAACTTTACTTTGCCGCAATCTCGAGAAACTGGAGCAGGCGACCCACGGTCTTGGACTCAAGCCCTTTCCCCTCAACGGTCCCCATCTTATCCATCCATCTCCACTTGCGCAATCTCCTCCTGCAAATTATAGTAAATTGCGTGATTCCCTCTTGGCTACCTTATGAAAGGTCTGAAAAGCGGGTTCAGGTGTCTCAGCCTCACAGAGAAAAACAAAATTAAGTTGTACTTACAAGAAGTAGTTGCTTACTTGCGGTTAATATATTTATAAGTGGTTCAAAGGTCTTTTAAGATATATTTATTTAAATATATTAAACATTTTTTACATTTTAATAAAATAAATATTTTTTAGTTATTCTTTCCCTATAAAATTTATATTTTCTTGAAAGAAAGAATAATAACACATATGTTTTTATTTGTTTGAACTTTGTACCTCTGAACCTCTTAGTTGCTAGAACTTCGGTTGTCATGCAATCATTTCGATTTAAGATTGGTTATTTTAACTCCCTTTGGGGACTTCTTTTTCTGTTGTCAATTCAATTTTAAATTGATTGCTCTTGCATACTTCTGGGAATATAATTTTCAAGCAATCATGTACTCTATATACGTTTTTCTCTAAGTGCACCTTAAAACCAAGCTCAAGTCTCAGCGTCTTTTGCGTGTTTATGTGCGTGTAATTACGTTTGATTGTCTGGCTTTGTTCGGCCGCTTGCCGACCATTAAAACATTGTTTTGTTAGAAATCAAGACCTGCTTCTGTTCCATTTTGTTCCGTTCTGTTCTCTTTATAAAGGGTATATACATATACTCTCCAGTTCTGTTTGGTTTGGTTTCTGTTTCTGAGTTTGCGGCTGTTTTTGTTTGCGTTCTTGCCCGCTAAATGGCTTCAAATTGGCTTAATTGTCACTTTGCGAACATGTTTTACACATTTGGGCCAGGTCGTTTCGGCACTGCATTCCGGACATTTTCCGGGCGGTGAAAACCGCGGGGTAGTGACCTGAAAATAGGCCTTTCATTCCCTTGATTACTTTAAAATGGACCTCGGCAAACAGTCGTCGAGTGAAGTGAAGTTCCTTCAATTATTTCCATAGCCAACGCTTCGTGTTCATAAATAATCAACCAGTGAAAGAGACGGATAGAAGGGAAATGAAAGAGACGGGGGCAAACAGTTTTATGCGTGTTTTGCATATAAATTTCTTGCTCAACGCTCTCGGACACGGTCCTTAAATTATGTACGCAAATAATTGAATTAGTTTAGCGGTTCAAAAAAAAAAAAATAAGGGAAGAGCGAAAAATGAAGAGACCCCTGAAAATCGTGTTAGAAATATTTTTCCAATCAATTGCCAAATTGTTGCCAGGTTTCTGCCTTTTCCCCCATTTACAAGTACAGCTAAAGAAAAGCGCCCCAACCATTCACTTGGAAAATACTATTAACAAACACAAAGGACCCTCGCCAAAAAATAGATGGAGAGAAAAAGGAAAACCATCTTTAGGCCGACAACCCACGTAGAAAAAAAATTAAAAATTTAGTTTAGATCTGGAAATGTACATCAATTTATATGACTAATCCTAGGGGAAGCTTATTTCGGATTTTTCGCTTTCACCTAACTCGATTTCGCAATGCGACAGGGTCGTTTAATGCAATTTATCTAGGGATCTTCTTAAGCAATTAGTTATAAGGTTAACTGGTACTAACTTTCGAGTAATTAAAGGAACTGAAGGAGTTTAATGGCTGAATAAATAAAGACAAGCTAGGCTTAATATATTATATTGAAGAGCTTAAAAATTACCGCAAGTTTTGTATTACATTTCGCAAGGAAATATTTTTCTCACAGCAGGTTTAATTGAAAATTTTTAAGCAAGCAAACATCTAGCAACTTAAGCTTTGAAAATAGCTATCAAAAGAGCAATAAAATTAGAGCAAACAGCAGCCAGCTAATATTAATTTTAATTTTAATTACCAAAAGGAAAGGAAAAAAGATAATGTGGCGCGAGAACAGCAGATCCATTAAAAATAATCGACAGAGCTTTAACTCCCTCAATGGCCGTTGCTTAACTTGGCCAAATCCAATTTTGATGTGTGGGCGGGGGGTGGAAAAGCGGGAATATTGAGGAAGGCACGCGCTGAGCCACAGGCCACAAAAGCCAAGACAGCCAAGGCAAAAGCGATTTGATATGACCAACAAGCGCAAAACCAAACCGAACGAACAACTCGTCGTTGCTCCGCCGAATCCCCTTCCCCCCACCCCTGTTAACCCACAATTTCCCCTCCACAATCCATTCAAGACACGCGAAATTGGCAGGCCAGAAAACATTTGGCCCGGGGTCCAAGATAAATGATAAGGCGACTACGACTTATCCCCAGTTTTTCCTCCTTCTCCCTTTTCGGTTTCTCCTCGGGCCTTTCTATTCGTAACTAATGAATGTTAAGTTTAAAAAGATACACAAATTTTCCAGCCGATACCATAAATTTAAGAAGAGCCATGGGGAAAGATTTTTAAAACCCTCCAGGCCAACAATTAATGCTTGAATTTAAGTTGCGGATTGACTGAAAGTCAAGAAGTGGTTGCATTTTCATCGAGTTAACTTAAATTTATTGCAACAATAGTGTAATAAAATGGTAAATTGATGAGTACAGAACTTTATAATGTTTGTTTAAAAATCTTCTATTTGTCAGCAATCAACAAATTTCGCCACGTTTCAAAAACCCCATTTTGCTGAAATCTGTCTGACCAACAAAGTGCTTACCTAGCCGAACAATTAACGCTTAAATTTAAGTAGACAAGTGTCTTAAAATGTTATTGACCCATCGAGAGCTGGCAGAGCTTCCTCTTCCAATCACAGTCTTATCAACAGGAATCTCTCTTCCATTTTCCTTTATGCTCCATCCATTCTCCACCGCTCGGTTGCCAGTTGTGTGGCATCTTCAAGTTGATGTTGCCATGATTTTCATCATCTACTAAATGTTTTTCTTTGGCCTTTCAAGTTTTTCTTGTTTCCAAGCTGCTACATATGGATGTGGATCCACGAGCAGCTCCTCCAACTTCTTTCAGCATCTTCTCCAGCTGCCATTCCCCTGCACCTGCCCCTCGGAGCTGGACTCTTGCCATCCGCATCTTGCCATCTCCACCAGATGGTTTGCTTTTGTAACTTGTTAGTTTTCTTTAGTGGCCCTACACGGGCTGCTCCATCAGAGACACACAAGCCAAACAGCTGCGGTCAAAATAAATGTGCAGGTCGAAATTATGTTGTCACCTGGTTTTTAATTCAATCTTACTACCATTATAAGCTTTTAAGACTTTTTTGAAAAAATTATAGTCCACAAACGATGAGTATAATAGGCATGATTTATCAGAAGAAGTTTGTATATATTTCTGATACCTTCGATTCATTAGATTCTTGTGGAAATTACGCAAATTCTTTATTCTTTTTAAATATATTTAACTCCGCTTTTTATTCACCCTCTCTTAAATTTAAATTTTAGTTGTTCAATGTTTAAAATCATTGATATTTCTCACTGTGAAAACCAAACTAAATTCCTATTATTCCAACCGCATCTGTACCTGCGCAAAACACACTCCCGACACTCGCATAGAAACGCTTGTTCCCTGTCTTGTTTTGCTATTAAGTCAAGAATTTTTATAGCATTTAGTTGGAAAGCTGCACATACTTCAACCTACTCCGTACCCATATCGGTCCCCTTTTCCGATTCGCCCCGCCCTCTTCAAGTGGAGATACGTACGCATAACTCGTGCCTGCTGTCAGCGCATTTGAGCTATGAGCTCTTGTGGTTTCTTCTTCGGCTTTTTATTAGTTTCTTGTTTGGTTTTCCCCATCCCCTGCGAGTGGTTTTCGGGCCTCGTGTGTGAGCAAAGTGACCAGTGACCAGCAGTACCGACCGTTTCTGCCATTTCTGGCTAACTAGTTACTAAATTGAGCGCATAAACTAAAACAACTGGGGGATGGGCAAGAAAAACAGAGAGCCCAGAAACAAGAATAGCAAATAGCAGTAGCAATGGAAAAATAGCAAAGGAAACTCGTTGGCCACTGCTCATAAATTACAGGAAGACATATTCAACGGAGACAAATAAACAACCGTCGCCCCTTCCCTGCCCCTCAATCCATCCATCGCCAGTTGGTGGACAGTATTTAGCAGGCACATTAAGTCTGGTAACAAGAAAATCATTTAATTGAACAGCCCTAACCAGTTGAAGATACGTTTCAGAGGAAACGGGTGGAGATACTCAGAAGCTGTGAATATACATGGCAAGACGCTTTTAAATATGTCCATAAAAATGTCCATGACGATATCTCAAGGAAGCTCAAGTTGTCGTCGAAGGCAATAACAATTAGTGTGGAATATTGATCAATTAGGGAAAGATAGTTTTTAAAAGCAACTAAAGAAAATCCTCGCAAAAAATTGAGTATTGATGAGAAGAAAGATATGGGTAGTTGATAAATACAAATCTTGGCAATTAAAATAGGGTATCAGAGCTCGTCCACTAAAGTAAGTGTCCAGAAATACTGCCCATCAAAGGCTCTCCACTTGTATCTTTAAATTTACAAATGGATCTTATCCAGCCGAACGTGCCCAAACCAAAAATATATAACCAGCACATAAACCACAAACTGAAAAACGTGCCTGAAAAAGCAAAGCCCATAAAAAATACACTCATGAGTTTGACCAAAGTGGAAACACTTTAAAGCGATCACGAAGCGGATCAAAGAGAAACACAGCACACTGAAGATATAAAGATACAAAAATACATACATTTTCCAGGCAAAATTTAAGGCTTTGTTGTTTCAGGTTTCTGTGTCATTTTCTATGAAAAAATCTCCAAAATTCTTGGACTCTTCTCCCACCGATGAAATGTGCAAAATGCTTTTGAAAAAAGCAATAAGAGAGTAAAACCAACTGATAAACGGACAAATGTTTATTGTACTAAAAATTTTATTGGCCACACATGCAGATACCACAAAGATACATACATGTCTGACAATGGCTGGCCATAAAATGGAATCAAATTGTGCCGACCAAAGCAAATGTTTGGTCAAAAACACAGGGGCCGGAGAAAATTGTTGAGAAAAATCAAGGAAAAGATTTAATAAATGCTGCATGACTTTATGGACTCCTACTCGATTTCCCCGGAGCAAAAACATATTGATAAACTACAGACAAACAGAAGCTGGTGCAAATGAACGTGTAAACAAACAGATGTATCTGTGCATCGGCGAGAAATAAATGAGCAAACACAACATAATTGGAAGGCAGTCCAAAAACTCACACACATTCCCATCTGTCCAGTTTATTTTTATGGCACACAATTTGTGGCAAATCAATGAAAAGTTCTTCTAATTTTATGGGCCTCCACATGTTTTTAGGCGTAAACAATTTCGGATCTTCACCTCTGAGGAAAACAGACGCAATCAAAGCTGCCCCAAATTAATTTAAAAGGAAAAAAGTTTCTGTTTCGGTATTTAAACAACACAAATTTTTGTAAATTGTCTGGTTGGAATTTTAATGGTAAACAACAACAAAAAAGGAAGCTGGCAAATGGAAAATGGGAAAATCCGGGAGAATGAGGCTGCTTTAAATAGGCAGCAAAATTATTGACAAAGTTTTTCCAAGCGCACACATGGAGATCTGGATAGAAAAATGGAGAAAGGGAATAGGAGAGCCCGCAAACGATGTCATTAGTGTTGGGAAAATTGCTGAGGGAAAATGAGGGGGAAAATGCGAGTAGCCGGGCCAAAAAGTAACAGTTAGAGTCGTGGGCCAAAAACTTTTGCTTTTATTTATTTACTTGACGCGCAACAAAACACAGACGAAAAAAAATGGGTTTTGAAACGAGGGCGAAAAAAGTAGGTAAATAAAAGTTCTGGATAGGCTGGCGAAAATGTAGATGCTCTAAGGGGAGTCCCTTTCGTGAGTAGGGAATGTTATATACCCTTGAGGGGTAGAAATTTATTTCAGAGACTTCATACACATATTAACAGAAAAATTTAATTAACTTTTAGCAAGAAAACTGTGTCTTATAATATTTTAAATATTTTAAAATCATAAAATACTTTAAGAGCTTGAACAAAACAAATAAACAAAAGTAGATGGGTAAACACAAAATTTAAGGTAATATTGTAGTAGGCCACCTTACGCCCGATAAACTATCGATTGTTAATGTTAAGCTAACATTAAGTATAACATAATCTGTAAGGAAGCCCAATGTTATTGATTCTTGGTATATGCATTGAATAAAGCGGACGTGTTATAATAAAAAGTGCCTAAAGTATTAAATATACCGGTCCTCTCACAAATTCAGAAGTGGGATAAATCTACGCAATGGACGATATAAACTTCAACAATTTCTCGGTTGTTCAACTAAAAAGATGGCTTTCCGCGTTGGGAATGCCAACTCAAGGTCTTAAGGCCGAATTGATGGCTCGTCTTGGGCGTGTTCCTCCCGAGGAGCGCGGCCAGGCACCACGCGAAGACGCCAACCCAAATTCTGGAGAAGATCGACCCGTTAACGAGGATTCTGAAGAAGATCAACCCGCTAACGAAGATTCCGAAGAAGTTCAAGGCGACGCCTCCGCTCATCAACTTCAGGGCGCCGAGAGCAACGTGAACATCGCACCAGCGGCTTCTCAGAGGGTGTTCTCCCGAGATGCCCTTGAGCAACATGAACTTCTTGCCATCATAAGGCAGCTGCAGGCAGAAGTAAGTGCGCATCGCAATTTGTTGCAACAAGCGCAGACACGTGGCGCCGCACAACAACAAGCAGTTGACAATAGTGGCAACCTCGGAGACTCGAACATTCTACCGCGGTCGCCAATGCATGCATCGTCTGGCAACCCTACCAGTCTGATCGTGTTACCGACCTCAGACGACAATGCATCTGGTGGCGGCATTACAAGCTCAAACGTTTTGCCAGCCCTGCAAGGCATTGCATCGAGTGGCAACAGCAGTGGTTTGGCAGTATTTGGCTCAACGAACAACAACACCGCCGTTTTCAACGCCGACGGAGCTGCCAGCCGAGCTGCATCAGCAACATCGTTATCTTTCGCCAAAGAAGCAGCCATAGACTTTGACGAAAACATGTGTGCTCGCATCTGGGTGGAGCACCTTAAGAACATTGGTCAGGTATATGTTTTGGCCGACGACTGTCTAAGGATGCTGTTCATCACCAAGCTGAAGGGAAAGGCACAGCGTTGGTTACATGCCAACCCTACTAGAATGCTGGAACCTTTCGAGAGGCTATGCGAGCAGCTGATTATGGCCTTCGGGCAAATGTCTTCAAAATCCGAGCAGCGTCGCAAGTTCGAGCAACGGAAATGGCAACAAACCGAGCGTTTTGCCATGTACTTCGAAGACAAGATGATGTTGGCTCAACCCATCAACCTGGAGACAGATGAGCTTTTGGAACAAATCATCGAAGGAGTGCCATCAGCCAATTTAAGGGATCAAGCACGCATTCAACGATTCGCCAACCCGGAGCAGATGCAGCAAGCCTTCGCAAATATCTGCCTCCCGCAGATAATCGAGACCAACGCAGCGAAGAAGACATCTAGGGAGGCCTCTGGAAACAACGAATTGCGCTGCAGAAACTGTAACTCCAAGGGCCATTTCGCAAAGGATTGCCGCAAGCCAAAAAGGGCTCCCGGATCTTGTTTCGCATGTGGAGAAATGGGGCACTTCGTAGGGCAATGCCCTAAGAGGAAGAGCGCCAGCGACAACAACAATTATGTAAGATCTATGCAAATTTATTTCTTTTCGTTTTCTAATGTACCAATTATTGCAGAATGTCTCATAGACTCAGGCAGCGCGATTTCATTTATAAAACTTTCCAAAGTCCCATATGGAATACACATTACTAAAGTTAAGACTTCATATTTTGGTATAAATAAGAGCCAACTTAATGTAAAAGGAAAAACTTTGTGTTTTATCATGAAGAAAGGAATAAAAATTTGTTTTGATTTAATAATTGTCGCTGATGAGTCCATGAGCCATGATGCAATTCTGGGAAGGGATTTCATGGATATCTTTGGTTTAAGCATTAATCTAGACACCCTTGACACTATTAAGGATAGTAGTTGTAATATTAACAAAAATAACTCACTGTCTCACACTTGCAACTTGAACCTTTATTGTGGAACGAAGGATCAACGACATAGAATGGCTGATTTATCTGAAGATGTTTGTACGGATTGTCTAGGACATTTAACTGGAAATGAAACTTTTAAGGAGCAACTGTTAGGAAATGAAACTGTTAAGGAGCAACTGTTAGGAAATGAAACTGTTAAGGAGCAACTGTTAGGAAATGAAACTGTTAAAGAGCAACTGTTAGGAAATAAGACTGTTAGGGAACAATTAATGGAAGGAGATACTGTTGAGAAGCAACTCGTAGGAGAAGAGACTGTTAAGAACCAACTATTAGAAAATAAAACTTTTAAGGAGGAACTGTTAGGAATACAAACTGAAAAACTGACAAAGAGCATTTTAGCAGAAACGTTTGATGAGGATATGTTAAGCATCAACATAGTTGATGATCAATTCCCGGATTATAGCATTGGTAATGAAATCGACTACGAAACCAAGTGCAGGTTTGTCAAAATGTTTAAAACGTTATACGGTACTGCAAAAAGACCAGAAATACCTTTTATCAGATGTGAAATGAAAATTAACATAGAAAAATCGAAGCCGTTTAGTTGTTCACCTAGGAGGCTATCATATAGTGAAAAGGATCAGCTTCAGAAAATGTTAGACGAATACCTAGATAAAGGCATTATAAGAAATAGCGACTCGGAATATGCTTCCCCAATCGTGTTGGTAAAGAAGAAAACTGGTGATCTTAGATTGTGCATAGACTATCGCAAGCTTAATAAAGTTCTAATAAAAGACAACTATCCTCTGCCTTTAATAGATGACCTCTTAGACAAGCTAGTCAATAAAAGTGTATTTTCAAAGCTCGATCTGAAAAATGGATATTTCCACGTATTCGTGAGCAATGATTCGATAAAGTATACGTCTTTTGTGACTCCTTTAGGACAGTTTGAATTTTTGAGGATGCCAATGGGAATAAAAAATGCTTCAGCCGTTTTTCAACGCTTCGTAAACAAGATTTTTTCCGATTTGATCAGAGAAAATAAAGTTATTGTATATATGGATGACATAATGGTAGCCAGCACAGATATAGAGGAACATTTAAGTACATTAAAGGAAGTATTTATACGTTTAGTTAATAATAGGTTAGAGCTGCGGCTGGATAAGTGTGAGTTTATGCAGTCAAGCATAAAATATTTAGGATTCTTCATAACTAAAGAAGGAATTAGAGCAGATGATAGAGGTCTTGACGCTATTGAAAACTTTCCGATCCCAGAAAAATTACACAACGTTCAAAGCTTTTTGGGTTTATGCTCATATTTCAGACGCTTTATAAAAGATTTTTCTATTTTAGCCAAGCCACTTTACGATATGTTAAGAAAAGATAAGGACTTTACGTTTACAGAGAAAGAGTTTAATTGTTTTTTAAATCTTAAGAAAAAACTAATCGAGTCCCCTGTCTTGGCTATTTATGATCACAAAGACGATGTCGAGTTACATTGCGATGCAAGCTCTTTAGGATTCGGTGCAGTTTTAATGCAAAAGAAAGGGGATGGAAAATTTCATCCCGTATTCTATTTCTCAAAGCGAACAACAGAAACTGAGTCCAAGTACCACAGCTTTGAGCTAGAAACATTGGCTATCATATACGCCCTTCGCAGATTTCGAATTTACCTTCACGGAAGGCATTTTAAGATAATAACCGATTGTAATTCTTTAACCCTTACTTTAAATAGGGTCGACCTAAACCCCAGAATTGCCCGGTGGGCACTCGAACTTCAAAATTTTGATTACGAAGTAGTTCATCGATCGGGAAATAAAATGCAGCACGTAGATGCTCTAAGTAGGTGTCACATATTGACGATTGAGGCCAATAGTTTTGAAGATAATCTGTTAATCTGTCAATCAAAAGATTCAAAAATTTTACAAGTTCGAAACCAGCTAGAGAAAAATCAACTTAAAATGTTTGAAATGAGAAACGGGGTCGTGTACAGAAAATCGAACGACGACAGATTGTTATTTTATGTCCCTGAAGAAATGGAGAGTCATATTTTACATAAATATCACAATGAACTTGGACACATTGGTAGAGATAAAATGTTAGACGCTATTTTAAAAACATATTGGTTTGATAAAATGAAAGAGAAGTGCAGTAGTCACATTGAAAATTGCCTAAAATGTGTTGCATTTGCACCAAAAACGGGGAAATCAGAAGGTTTTCTGCATAGTATTCCGAAAGGGGATAAGCCATTCGAGTTGCTGCATATCGATCACTACGGACCAGTGGATAAAGGAAGAGCAAATAAACACATCTTTCTGATTGTAGACGGGTTTACTAAGTTCGTAAGACTGTACACAACTAAGACAACAAATACAAAAGAAGTTTTAAAAGCATTAAGCGACTACTTCAGGGCTTATAGCACACCAAAGTCGATTGTATCAGACAGAGGTAGTTGTTTTACCTCTAATGATTTCGAACAATTTTTGTCTCAGAGAAACGTAAAGCACTTGAAAATTGCAACAGGGTCTCCACAAGCCAACGGACAGGTGGAGCGTATAAACAGGAGCATTGGCCCTATGATTGCGAAACTTACAGAACCAGAAAACGGTGCACATTGGGACACAGTAATTGAGCAAGTAGAATATACCCTTAATAACACTATACATAGAAGCATTAAACAGGTCCCGAGCAAGATGCTTTTTGGTGTTCAACAGAAAGGAGAGATCGTAGATGAGCTTAGAGAAAAATTAGAAGAAATAAAAGATACGATTGTTACTGAAAGTTTAGAGGAAATTCGACTAAAAGCAATAGATAATCAAAATCAAGCACAGGCATACAATAAAAATTATTTTGACAAGAAAAAGAAAAAGGCCAAGGACTACGGAAAGGGGGATTACGTCATGGTAAAAAACTTTGATAGCACAGCAGGAGTTGCGAGGAAGTTGATCCCCAAGAATAAAGGACCATATGTTATAGCCAAAGTGCTTCGGAACGACAGGTTCTTGTTGCAAGACGTTGAAGGCTTTCAAGTATCGCGAAATCCGTACAAGGGTGTCTGGAGTGCTCAAAATATAAGACCATGGATAGGAAAAAAGAAAACATTGTAAAACATAAGATTACATAACAACTTTGTATTAAGATAAGAGTATTGTAATTAGCTTTAACTTTAGTTTTAAGAATCTCAGGATCAGGGGATCCAAGTCGCAGGACGGCCGAATTGTAGTAGGCCACCTTACGCCCGATAAACTATCGATTGTTAATGTTAAGCTAACATTAAGTATAACATAATCTGTAAGGAAGCCCAATGTTATTGATTCTTGGTATATGCATTGAATAAAGCGGACGTGTTATAATAAAAAGTGCCTAAAGTATTAAATATACCGGTCCTCTCACAATATATTATAAATTGAAAAACCAATTTTCGTTTATTTAATAGGCTCTGCTTTAATCTCTATGCTAAGCCACTTTTATTTTTCTCCTTTAGAGTATTCAATTAAATGGGCCAAGCGACTTGCACAACCCGTAGAAATAAAAAAACGAGAGCACACGTAAAGCAAATTTTTGAATGGCGTAATTTTGCAGCTAAAAGAAGAGGACGATGATGAAGATAATGATGATCATGATCCCAATGATGGAACAGTTGAGCAATTGCAGCCGGTTGCTTTGTTTACTATTCGAGCGAAAATGTTTCGGCCAACATGAAAAGACTGCGGAAAAATGTAGCCGAGAATTAGGCGAAAAGTAAAGCAAATAAGGGAAAGGAAAATAGGAAAAGGAAAGCAAAAGTTTTCTAGCAAAACGTGCTGGCAGAAAATAAAGAAAATTCGGGGTACCCCATCAAGCTATAACCTTGCCCTGTAATAAACTCAATTCTATTTTTTTTGCTAATGCAAAAACGGGAAGGCATTGTCCTGCCTTTTGACCTAAATAATTAAATTCATTTGGGGGCGACAAATAGGCAAGAATGGCTTACAAGAATTGAGGAAAATCCTAAGAAAATACTAGACAAAACTTTGCATTTAAGGCTGTTGCTGCAGTAGCTGCCATGCATTTTATTTGGCTTCATTTAATTTTATGTTAAATTAATTTGTTGCTGCAACTCCGAAAAAAAACACTCCACACTGAATTTCATAGCTTTTACAAATATTTAGTTAATTTGAAGAGATTTCTGCTTCTTTTGTCAGTCCGGCAAATTGCATTAGGGCGGAAATGGAAATCTGCAGTGCGTATCCTTATCTGCCACTGACACATTTACTTTAATTTCCTTGAGAGGTGTCTGGAAAAGCCCTGCAAAGTGTGTGTGTGCGATGGAAAAGTTTCCGTCTGACAGGAAGCTTGGTTTGGGGTCGGCAGATTGAGATATAAGAGCCTACTGTCTGGTTGCCAGGGCAATCCTGAATGGATTTTGCTCTCCTAGTCACTAAACGAAGGTATATAAATAGGGCTTGGCCTGGACTATGGGCCAAAACAAAGAAGAGATTACGGCTTAATTGGCGCACGTAGCTTTGCTAATATGGAAGGTGCGTGGGTCCCATTGTCTTTGGATTTTAGCATCCGTAAAGTGATTATCTAGCCGTTAGAACCTCTGAATTTTAATTGCTTTAATATTACGCAAAATTGAATTGGCAATCATTAATGAGATGTGGAATAAAAATATTATATAGATTTTTGTTGATCATGTTTTGTATCTTTTTGGGACCATTGTTCAGCAAATGCTTGGGACAGCAATTCAAAACTGTACATTTCCTTGGCTGTCCTATATTTTTCATTACAAACAGTGCATCTATTTTTTTTCTGAATTCCTTTCTTATTTCGCCATTGGTTTAATTTGGTTTTCAGTCAGTCATGATTGCAACAGCAGCTGTTGCTGTTGCCGTTGCCGTTGCCGTTTCTGTTGCATAGCTCGGGGCGCTTCATCATCGGTGTGTGATGGCAAGAACTTAACCCTGTGGGGACAAAACGCCGGCTACAAAAAACACACTGAATATGCTGCTGTTTCAGTTGGTGTTGCTCCTCTATTCCTGATTTTGCTGTTGCTGTTGCCGTTGCACTGTTT